ATTTGGACGAGATCTAGTGACAGCATTGACCTGATGGAAGGCAGTTCTGAAACACTTCGTTATTGTTAGTTTCCTGAAGCTGTTTGAACTTTTGCTTTCAAAGGCAGTTTTAGTAATTTAGTTGTTCTAAACTATTTTATGTTTGTTTCTGCAAGTTTTGTTCTGTAAAGAGAACAGCTAGCAACAGGACAGTGTTTGTGTGTTTTGTCCCTCAACAGTATCAATCTTATGGTAATTCAGGAACAGCGAAGACCCTCTTTGAAAAGGTATCTCCAGTAGTTGTACATGACGTATCTGTAGTCTATAAATAATTCTTTCCTTTTTTGAGCCAGAGGAGACACTGGGATAGATTAAAGCCAGCAATTTGAGGTATAACAGAGAAAGCCATGAAAGCATTACTTGGAAAAGTCTGTTGCTTTGTTTATCCAGGTGGATGTGAGCAAATGTAACTTAACAATGTAATAAAAGCTACAGAGCAAAGGTTTCAGCGTGGATTCTTACTTAGTTCCATGAACGTCGCTCAGTCTTGCTTGCAACTTTGATTTGGATTGCTCAGTCCTGTGTTTGCTTTGTCTGCATGACTTTCATCAGGCTTTCTGTTGTTCCTATTCTTCTATCCACAAAACCTTAATTGACTACAGTTGTGGAATGAGATGTACGCTTCCAGTTTTGCTGCTCAAAATCTCTCTTCAGTGTTATTTCACTGCTGAGTTGGCTCTGAAGCAGCTGATAAGGCTTTATTTTTCTTCCAGACCTGTAACCAAAATAATTGCTTAATACTGATTTTTTTACTGCTATTTTCTTTTTTTTTTCTATATTTCTGCTTTTCCTTTTCTGTTAGATGTGGAAAAAATTGGATTTTGCTGTAAACTTATTGCTTTGAGAGTTGCAAGAGATGAATTATGATACTGAGGAGCTCCTTGGAACTCCTGCGGTTTTCAAGGTTTGAGGACAACTCAGGATAGTACTTTTTTTAAAAATAGGTCGTCCTGTTGTATGTGTTATCATAGGTTTACATTAGCTTTAATTGATGTAGAATGATAAGGCTCTTAGTAACAGATGATAAGTAGAGATAAGTGCTGTTTATGGGTTTAGGAAGTAATAGCTGTAAATAATATTTGATACTCATGTATTCTTAATTCTTTAAAATGCACCGGGCGAGGTTATTTGCAAAAGTACTCTCTTGGCCTACTTTTTGCTATCAAGTCAACAGCAGTAAGAATTAGGCCAATACTTCGCACTTGTGAAATTTCCTGCCCTAAATTTATTTGGATTTGCCTCAGCCTCACACTTTTGGCTTGTCTTTTTGGAGTAGAGCAAAGCAAGTGGCACGGTGTGCTCCAGAGGAAAGGTGGGCACAAGCACAGTTCTGAGGCCATCCTGCGGCATGAGGAGCGACGCGTATTGAACCTGAAGTAACTGGATCATGACGACCTCAAAACATCAATTTTAGCTGCAGTCTTAGCCTAGTTAGCATAATACTGATTTTTATGCCTTCTTTAAAGTTGTAATTGCTCTTGTACCTGGTAGCCTTAAGTTCCACAGGTAATGTAAAATATCAGTCACGCTAGAGAGGCCCAGTCACCGCTGCTGGTAGCCAGAATGTGAAAGTCAGTTTAGGGTGCAGGGTCAGTGTTTTCACACCTTCCTGGAAGAATAAGTGGGTTGTTATCGAAAAGCAATGACAGTTTTCTTTTTTATTCCTGAACCTGATGAGAATTTTAAAACAGGAGCACAAAGTAGTTGCTGGAGCATGCAGCAGTTTTCACAAATGGGTTGACTCATCTATGTTCATTATTCATATACACTTTCATGTTCAAATCTGGAAGTCTCAAGGTAATAAGTTAAATTACTGGGGAACACCAACAAAATAATAATAAAACACTTAGGAGGGAGAGCACACTTCTTTCTGTCTTTTTCAGGGCTGGTAAAAAAGGCTTTTTCTTCAGCCCATGTAATAAATTAATTTGAAGGAATAAAGGAAAATTCAAAAGCCCAGGTTTGGAAGCAGACTGACAAAATACTTCAGATGGTCTCTGTCAGATTTACCCCACCTGTCTTCTGCCCCACTTTTAAGCACCTCTAGTTAGGTGGCTGAGTCACCTTCAGCTTATTTGAATTCTGGAAAAGTGCCCATCCCTCTCTCATTTTGATTTGAAAAGGACAAATGACACAGCCTTAGGAGACCTTAAGTACTTAGTTAGGTGATGTAAGTCTTTGTATAGATGACATCAATGTTAGCAAGTAAAGCAGTGCAGTAAAAGTGGACCTTTGTAGTGAAACAATTAAAGGTGAGGACCCAACATCTACACCGGGATGGGACTAGTCAGGACTAGCTCTAGCCCAGTGCCGTGGTCTCAATGCTGTGAGAACTGGATGCACTCTTGGAGCACAGTTCATCCCAAAGGGATTTGGTTTCCATGTTCCAAGACTGTCCTGCAGTGCAAACCTAAATGTAGCAAGAGCGAGGGACTGGGAGATTTGCAGAAGTGCCCTCCTGCTCTGTCCTAAAACGCTCATGTAGCCACACCTTAATTTCATTTAGACTCCACACCAAAAACATGATGATAGAAATACTCTTCTGGTTATATGGCTTCGTTTTGTGTTAAGGTCTATGAAACATCAATTTTTTTCAGTTACCTGATGTTTCCAGGACAGCACAACCATTGTGCTCTGTGTTCAAACAGGCAAAGCGCATTGTGTAACTTACACCTAGAGTGTCTTAGAAGTGTACTCGCAACGTACTGATGACACAAACTTTCAGTGCCTTTGCTGCAAATTGGAGCCCGTTTCTTGCCATGAACTCTGGCAATCTTTGCCAAAATGCCAAATAGTCACCACTGAAAGCCAAGTGGTGAAGTGCTCGTTTTGACCATGGACAGGTGGTTATCTGAGTGAACAGTGTGCCAAAAAAGTAAAACAGTGGCTGCATGGTGCTTTCAAGGGGTTATCTGGACGATGACTTTGCAGGAAGCCTGTTTCTGTTCCTGTTGTGAAGATTGGACCTCTGCTTGTTAATAGAGGTGTTATATTTAAACTCTTTTACTAAACGCAGCCTGAAACTAAACAAGGAAGTTGTATTTTATACCTTCTTTACAGTTTAAAACCTGCATAAATTGAGATAAATCTAAACCTGTTAGAAGTGCTAGCCCTTAATGAAATGCCACGCATTTATCTTCCAGGTAAGAGGTGACTACGCCGTCTTCATCACGCGCTATTCCTCATCTCAGTAGTAATTTCAGTGTAAAGCCCATGTGCTAGGCCCAATTCAGACCTTGCTGTCACATTGCTGTGCTGTGTGGATTTTCTTCAGCTCTTGTGTTGTGCTTGCTGGCTTTGTACCTGCCCGGTGGTTCCTGGAAAGAACTGCCAGGCTGACTCAGCAGCGAGAGAGCCCCGGCAGAACTTGCTTTCTCACCTGACTTTTGGCGAGTGGGGCTGTTTCATGACTGTTGCTGAGCACAGGTTTGCCCTAAGGGTAGCTAAGTAATTATAACTAGCTGAGGTAAATGCCCTGACGAGAGACCTTGTTTCAGATGAAAAGAGGGCACATTGGTTGAAATCTTACAGCAAACTGTATTGCCGAAGAGCCACTGTAGATGGGAAAAGACCTTTGTTTGGAAGTTGGATGTTTCAGACCATGTCAGCAGGGAGAGGTTTTCTGCAGCATACTGTTCTCTGAATCTTAAATATAGCACCTGGTTTTGTGGGTTGTTTTGTTTTTTAAAGGGAAACAAGTTTTTAAAAAACACAAGGTGTTTTGCTAGGCATATTAAAATGCTGCTTCTCTCAGAATAGGTTTTTAGGCCTCATCAAGAAAAGATGAATGACAAACTTCAATAACCAGCGAGCTCAGTTCAGGTCTGTTCTGACAGTGCAAGCAAGGGAGTTGTGAAGTAGTCCCTCCCTGTTTCAGCAATGAAGTCTCCCTTCTCTTTGTGGAAACTTCCTTGCTTTCCTCAGTGGTGGTTCTTGCACTCTTCCTAATGTGCAGATTCCTTGCCCGAGACAATAAAATTTGAAGTGACACACAAAATTGACAAAGCTCTGCTGCCACCCCAAGTTTTAGGACATAACAAAAGAGTGATGTTTTCTGTGTTTGGTTTCAAAAAAATATGCAGTTACCATGACAACTCTTGCCCACACTGGAAATCCGTTATTGGGAGTTTCTGGCATGGCTTTTATTTGCATATGCTGCAAACAGCACTGTTATTAAACAGACTGTTAATTATTCTTCCAGTCACTGACTGAGAGAACTGATGTGACAATAGTTACAACTTTCTGATTCCAGGTAAGAGTGGTCATGCATAGCTCTATGAAGCTCAGTTTGCCCGATTACTGCTTTTATGTATTGCTCTTTTGTATATAGAAGATTTTTGGGTTTTTTTGCTTACAACCTGAAGCCATACTCACTTGTTTAAATTATCAAGGAACTGGGAAAAAGAAGTATTTTTTGGTTACTCACCATCCTTTTTGTGAGACATTTTATTAGATGCTTTATTATCATTTGAGGCTGTTTTTGCCAATTTTGTGTAGATATTTATTATACTCTATGTATGTCTTCATTACTCTTTTTTTTTAATAATTGAAATCTTTAAAAAGATGCTTGATACTGTACTTTGTCCTCTGAATAGTGACAATTAAAGCATGCATTTAGGATTCAAAATTCACCTTGTTCCTGTTTGAGACTTGAAAATTTATTTTAAAGTGATTGTTGAATTAGTTTCTAATAATGTACAATAATGCAGTCAGCTTGTATTACCAAAGGCTTTATTATGATTCATGCTACGGGATGGCAGTAAGAGACAGCATCTGATAACTTGGCTTTTTGTTTTTCTTTTCCCTTTTAGGAATTTCCATGGGATGCCGATCATGCCACTGGACTGCATTTGGGTAAAGGATGAGTTCAACATTTCTCTCAGGAGTCTTCCAACACATTTTCTAAATTACGTTTTAATGGTGTTCTAAGTGAGCTTATGTGAAACAAATGGTATTGGATCATGAGTGAAGAAAAAAGCTTTGGTATATCCCAGAAAATGTTGTCTCCTTCAAGAAGTACTAGCAGCTGCTCCTCTAAGCAGGGAAGCCGACAGGTAATACAAACTTTTTTTACCAAACTGAAAGCATTACTAAGACTGGCTGTTGCTTTTGCTCTGAAATATCGGCAAATCTCGTAAAGTCTGTTTCCCTGTTGCTCTCTTGTTTTATTTCATCACTTCTTTGTTTTCCTTACTCTCTTTTCTCTTTTTGTTGGTAGCAGCATCTTGTTTTGAGTCAAATGCAGTAAACACACATTACTGAATAGCAGACACTTGTGAAACTGGAATGTTAATGGTGAATTTGAATTTCTGTCGTGTTGTATGTATGGTGTCTTTACAGTGAAATATTGGTGCTGTAGTGGCTTGGTCTCAGTGGTTTGATGCTGAAATCACAAATCTTCCCTGTAAGATACGACTTTTGTGGTAGAATGTTGTGTAACTGCTCTGCTTATTTCAAGTTTCCAGGGAAAGGTGTGCATGCATGTGTGAAAGAGAACGCATTTTTCTGAAACTTGGCATAGGGCCTCTTTGACAATGAATAAGTGCCTATGAATGCTTGCGTGTACTGGCTGTTGCCACAGAACTGTAGTTATGAAAAGAAGTATTTGTGTAATGGGATGCATCTGGGTGCCTAATGCTAAGGATGCTTTGTTTTCTGCAGAGATGATGCTATTCTTTAAACCTTACAGTTTTAAAAGACATGCCTGTGAGTGTCTGTGCCTCACAAGTAAGACTGTTGGAGACAGCTTTTGTTTGTGGGGAAGAAACATTGACCTGCAGCTACAGTGAGAATTAAGATTAAACACGCTCAATCCATGCTTGCAAAATCTGGAGCAATATGCTTAACATAAACTTTTATTTGTACAAATGTGGGCTTAGTGGAGCTCTTGAAGCTGTCTCAGGTTGAAATTTTAACTGGAATTGAGCATTCCAATCCCCCAAAAGCTTTGGAGACCTCAGCTTTGTTTTGAAACAGCACCTGTTTTTATGGGACTTTTGGCCCTGTGTATACAATTGGCAAGGCAGACAAATCTCCGAACAATTTATGCCTTTTAAAGTTCTGTGCTTGTAAGAAATGCTGTGTGTTTCTAGTATACCAAGCAAAAAAATCATTGCTTTCAGGATGCCTTTTTTGTTTTCCTGCAACATTATTTTTTATATCCTTGGCATGAGATTATCTTTAAAAAGTGTAATTTAAAACATTTGGTATTGTCTGTTTCAACAGTTCATGTCTATCAAGTGTTATCATGTAGTATTTAAATAACAAGTTTTACGTGAGCATAACTAAATCCACTGGTGTGTTACACAGCCAGAATAAGCAACCATACTGATGCAGAAGCAATTTCTGCGAGAATCTTGTTTACTGCTATTTAACATGATCAGATATGTTGGCTAGCTCAGACTTTTGATGCTAGTATTATCAGGTCCTGATTCTTATCCATTTTGTTCTCACCTGCTCTCTTTGGAGAAAAGGAATGATTCAGTAAGGTTTAATGTCATGTTATCAAGCCCCAATTTTTTAGTCTTTGATCCTTGCATAAAAATAGTGTACCTGACCAAGGTGAGAGATGCAGCTTGGTGGTTTGTTTGTATTCCTGTTACATCTGTGCTTATTCATTACAGTCAGGCAGATGGTAAATTGCCTCATACACCTGTCAGGTCAAGCTAAATGGAGGTATAAAGTAGATAATTTCCCAGTGTATATTGAAGGGCGAGATGGTTAACATTTCTTTGCGATAATATAGAGCATTGTGGTAAGTATCTCCACTTCGATCAATGTCTCAGTACTAATTTTTTCATGGACAGTCATTGCAATACCAAGTAAGTAACAGCACATTTTTTTTATCTGGGGAACCTACATGGGTTGACTGATTGTCTGTGTTGTCAGGGGGTGGTGGTGATCGAGGCAAGCCCACGGAAGTTGGGGAGTTTGTGTGACTTGTTATACGCTGGGAAATGGTCACTAAGCAGGGCTAAAAGCTCTGCTTGCTTGCTTTTTCTATATAGTCTGAAAATTTACAAACACGTTTTTCAGAAATTACAGATGCTTTTTAAGTTCCACTGGTCTTTCTGTTATTTTTATTTTTAAATAGAGACTTATAATATTTGTAAGGAATGCTTTAATACTTTTTCTATTTCCTTCTTTAACAGGTGCAATAACTTTCTAGCTTATTCTATGACTTTGCCTATGCTGAAGTGATCTAGAGGCCTTTCTTCAAACTAGCAAAACTTAGAATGGAAAAAAAAGAGTTTAATTCGAAACTACAGTTTCTTTTTTTTCATGTGGCTGTTTTTTCATACTGAAGTTGTCTTGCAGTTTACATAACAAACTGTTTTGCTGGGGAAAACAAAGATTTAAATATCCTGTGCAGCCTGCACTCTAGATATTTACTTGAAAAAAAACTTCTGTGGGTCATTTGCCCATACATTTTTTTAAATTTATTTGTTAGTTGTAGTTTGCAATGGTAGCATGTTTCAGTGAATATTTTGTTAGATACTCTTCTGTGCTGCGTGTGGGAAGACGGACCTTTAGGTCTAATAGAGACAGTACTCTGCAAGACTTGCTGGCATGGACACAGCAGTGCTTTGGGTGAGAAACGGCTGTCTTCTCCCTGTTCCTGTTCCCCCAAAGGCTCTGGTTTTGCAGATTATAAAGATCTTTACCTTGTTAGATAGACCCTGTCTTTAGTGCTGTAAACCATATAGTATAACATGTATTATAAAATCTAAATTGTTGGCAGTGAGGACGCAGAGATCTTTCTTGTGTCGTGTCCCTTTTCTCCCCCCTTCCCACAGACGATTTCTTGTTACAGCTGACAACTGCTGCTTTTCTCACTTAGCATCTTGTATTCGTAAATTGAAGCTTCACAGTCTAGGGCTGACAAGACCAGGGATGAGTGACGACACAGAGTTATTTAATTTGCCCTTTTCGTCTGCATGTTAGTTTAAATGACAGCACTTTAAGTGTTCTATTAAGAAAACAGCAACAATCTAAAGTTCTATAAATCTGTTAAAAATCCCCTAATCTAAAAAGAACCACAGTTTGGTGTTGTGGGTTTTTTGTTGTTTTGTGGGGGTTTTTTTGGTTTTGTTTTGTTTTTGCAAAGCCCTGGTAGAAAAGTACAATGTAACACTGTTATTGATGCTTTTTTGTTAATAGTATCATGAAAGTTTAAATAATTTTGCCATAGGCTGTGCAGATTGGGGAGTAAAGTGCTATGATTTTGATATTCTTCATCTTCCAACTACATGAAGAGATTCTTATTCCTCATTCAATCGCTTGTGCCTCTCTGGGGGACCTTCAGAGCTAGGCTCGTTGCTTGCAGGCTAATGACAGATATGTCCGACAGGTGCTTTTCTCTGTGCTGCTGATCTGACACAGCAGTTCTTTTAATCTGATTAAGTAGAAAGTAATTCTGAAAGGCACAGGGGAAGGGACCTGGACAGTTCATTTGGTTTTACCCCCAAAATAGTGGGATCTGAGTTTTGAGTCTCTCTGATTTCCTGGGCCCAGACTCTGTTGCAGGTACGCCCTAGCACCAAATAATAAGCAGCTGCCTGAGATTGGGATACGGAACCCCCATAGCACAAGGTTGCTGTGCCCGCTAAAATTTACTCATTGCTTGCTGCAGAGCACGTGTGTCAGTGGTGTAGAGCCTAAGTTAGTCCTGTGATGCAGAAGATGGGCCACTGTGCCAAAAAAGACTTGACTCAAGCAGGGCTGCAGGACTTGGAGAAGCCCACTCCTTCCTTTGCTAAACTGAGTGCCCTTTTTCTGCCAGGTGCAACACATTTGCAGTGTGAACTGAAGATGCTGTTAATCCTGTTCCACTAAGTTCACCTTCACCTTGAAGCCCCATAGCAGGTTGGAGGCTACTGCCGCATTCCACCCCTCTCCTTTTCTCTGCCCCTCTCCTTCAGTCATGGAAAGGGATCTCTTCCACAAAGCCACAACTCAAACTGTGTTTTGTGAGGAAATAAAACTGCTGTTGATCTTTAAATTTAAATTGACCTGTGATGAAAAGAAGATATATTGTGGTAGATATTTTTAAGTCGAATATGTTAACTAACTTTTAAAATTAAATCATTTCTGCCAATTTTATGAACCATAACAAATGCTTTACTTGCAGCTGATGCCAACCCTTATCCTCCACAGAGCGGGTTTCTATTTTTGGCACTTTAAAATATTCGCTACAACTGACTGCATTTTGCACTGGAAGAAAGCCTGGCACTGTCATCTGTTTTGTTCAGGGAACTGCAAATGCAAGCATTGGTCTGAGACCTGTTCAAACACATTACTTCATTCCTTCTCCTGAAATAATTCGCCTTGAGGAGCTCTATGGTACAGAAGATTGCAGAAAATGAGGAGGCTTTTATTTTATTAAATGACTACAGTTTCCTAATGACAGAGACTTACCTCCGCCAACCAAAGTGTATGGGGTTTTTTTCTTGGCCACAGAGCAGGTATAAGCCAAGTAGCAACTACAGAGTGAATTTCCAGTGCTGATCTGAAACAAACACCTCTGGACGTAAGAAAAGTAAAGAGTACATTCCTCCACCAGCCTCGAGTGATGTTTCTGCCTGGGCAGCAAATGCAGGATTGATCATTTTGTGCAGATATTGGCCCGTAATGATACAAAATCTTTTGTAGTGTCATAATCTTAAAACACTACCAGTCTGGACATCAAACTCATGCTAGAATTGTTACTGCCATTCATTGGGAGTTTGGCTGCGTTTTTTGGGGGGTTAAGGGGGTGGGGTATTGGGTTTTTTAAATTTAGTGCTATGGTTTGAGGTAGCTCTTTCAGCTCCCTGTTGTGGGGTAATAATCATCAAAATGGAATATAATCTGAATGTTTCTAGTAGCTTTCAGGAAATTCTGTATCTCCAATTTGCTCCTCTGCAATTTCAGACAGATGAGAACAAATGATAATGGACCAGCCTGATTCATTTGCCTTCATTTTAAAGAGTAAGCAGGTTTTTATTGCTTCTGCAGCTGCTCCCAGCAATAGCCAACTGACGCTTTTTCCTCATCAAATGAGGCGTTAGATCTCTTGCAAAACAAAATACCGATCAAGATCCTGTAGGGTCTGGATCAAGAGCGAACAAATCCAAAACTGTTCACACACACAGCAGTATTTTGAAAAATGTGGGAGTTCGGGGGGTTCAGGTGGGAAAGGTTGGACTCTTCTGAACGAGTGTGTGTGGAAAAGGACCAGATGCTGTTACTGCAGCGTTGCACCTTGCATGTATTTAGCAGGTTCCCGAATTGTTAATTCTCTGAGCTGTTCCTTCCCTTTTCTTGAGTAACTTAGTTGATTAAATAGTCTTGCACTTCTAAAATAATCAATTTCTAATTCAACTAAGCTACCTTTATATAAATTTTACAATTGAAGTGTGAGGTTCCCAGGGCAGAAATGTGAGACTTGCTTGCACGACCTGAGATTTGGCAGACCATCAGGCTTGCTTGATGAGAAGAATTGCTCCCACTTAGCTTTTCTTCCCATTTTTACACTTTCTAATTGTGAAGGCACATTCTTTGCCGCCTCACTGACCTGAAGAACAGTGAGAAATGTGGCTCTCCTGCAGGGACGTGGGACACACCTTGTGTCAGTGCTGCAGAAGAGACCCAGACAAAGTTGGAGTTGTAATGCAGGCCAGGATACGCTCTGCATTTAAAAGCTTTACCAAAACTATTGACACAGTGTATATTCCAGGTGGGTGTAACAGGCTGAAGTATTTCTCAGCTGCTTCCTTTCTCTTCACCTCATATGCCCAATATCGCATGGGTCTGTCTCTCTTCAGGAGTCCCTTTCTAAGCTTATCCTTACACAAAGGCGAACCTGGATTCTTGTGTTTTTCTTGATTGTGCTCAAATTTCTGCTTGTCTCCTGCAAACAGACCACTCTATCAACCATATACTGTGTGTAAGCTTAACTAAGTCTGTGAGAACTTGATCCAAAGCTTAAGAAAGTTGTTTCATTAGGTGTAACACTGGAGTATTGAAAAGGATCTACTGTTCACTTAGCCTTGGCTGCTATCAGATTAATTCTCAGTGGAAAAGTTACATGTTTGGGTATTGCAGTTTGGTATACTTCAGTGAAGGCAAGGGAAATAGCTTGCTTGGTAATCGGGCAAAGCAGTTTTTAAGCTCTTCTGGCTAATTTCAGGAAGAAACAAACAAAACCATAAACGCAACATTTTTCTTAATCTCGTGGATGCTCCTGTTAGTTCTGAATTAGAATTACCTCTCGATAGTTCCATCAAGTTTCTCACTTTTTAAAATGTTTACCTTTATCCAAATCCCCAATTTGAAATAAGCTAATGTCAAGATTACATTTTATATTTGCTCATTTAGTAGATCGTATTTTCTGAGGAGATAAGATTTTATCCACATATGGACATTTAAGCAGCAGTAAGTTCAGCTGTTATTTAGTTAATGTAAATTGTAGCTTTACGCTATATATGATGATATTTAAAGAGGCTGCTCTCTGTCATCATAACAGTCCCAGTCCTTGTGATTATGTAAGGGTTAATAAACAATCTTTAAAAGGAAAATGAAATCCAAGACCACTATAGAAAGCATTTAGTGGCCTAATATTTACGTTTATGGAAAAAGACGTGGTGGAACATCATTTCTCTTTGGCTTTCAAGGTTGTAGACTGAAATGTTCTGTCAAAAAAAGAAGGGCGGGGGGGGAAAGTCCTCAAATGTGGTGGCTTAGAGCTGCCTTTGTACTTGAACAGCTGTCAAACTGCAGCCAGCAAGCTCTAGCAAACTGTCCTTGCACGGGCACTGGCTGGCTCACTGCTTCATTCTCTGCCAGCTTCACGTCATGAAAGACCAGTGCTGCTGGTCCCCAGCAGCAGAGCATATGGCTGGGCCCCAGATGATGTGCTGGAGACGGCCCAGGAGGCAGCCTGCTCCCCCTGAAGCCCGCTAACTCGGGGTATCCTCTGTTCCCTGACCTGGTATCAGAGTTACCTACCACAAAGCAGGAAAGGGTTTATGATTACTGAGAATTTTCAGTGAGTCCCAAAGTAGTAAAAATAAAAAATAAAGAATATGGAGTGTAACTTCTGGTTTTCAATAGGAAAAATATGATTTCATCCTTGTTGGTTAGAAATAATGGTATCCAAGTAGCTGTCAAAATATCACTCAAAGCAGAGGGAGTAAAGAAGCTATTTACTACAAAACTGACAAGGGAAAAACCCAAACCTGTAGCGGCACAAAATATGTGCCATGCTAACAGTTTCAGTTAGGACAGCTGCAGTTTTGACTTACCTTCAGGTAATAGAACATCACTGGGTGTTGAATGACAGGAGCTGCTCAGCCCCACGTTTCTACTGCTTGCAGCCTGTTGTGTGGCGAGTGCTGGCAGAGTCAACTCACACCAGAGCAGCAGAGCAGCTTTCCAGTTTGTTCCATAAACGGCAGCACAAGGAAAATAATAACAAAATAGTGGAGTGCCACCAGTGATGATGTGGAATAAGAGATCACATTCCTTAAGCTGTTTAATGAATGTCTTTTTGATGACAGTTTGTTGTTATGCCTTGTTACTCAAGTAATGAGCGTATTCTGTGATATGATTCCCCCCCCCCCCCCCCCTTCCTGGGGGGGCGTTGTAGGGGTCTGTGAGGGTAGGGTTCTGTAGATGGATAATTGAGTACAACTAGCACTTTTGCTGATATTTGTTTAATTTTTGTTTTAAAGTTTGAGTCAGTCAAGTTCTTTTGGGGAATACTTCCCTATGCATCTTACAGGGAGAACCACAATTACTTGCTAGTCTGTTATAGTTTTGTTTTCCCTGGAGTTTTTCATACTAGTCCTTTTCTGTGATTCAATTCTGCGGGTTAAAGTATTCTTTGTCTATTTCAAATACATGGGGATGGTACTAGCACATGCTATTTCCTGTCAGTTGTTCATCATTCTAGATCTGTTAAATCCTGTGGTAGCTGCCAATAAATAATTCATGAGATCTCTGATCAGAAATCCTGAAACTCATGTTACATTGTTGCTGATGTCAGGAAAGAGAGATCCTCTTTTAATTAGAGGTGTAGCTGATAAAGGGTGGTGTGTTTTTTGTGGGGTTTTTTTTGTGGGGGTTTTTTTTTGTGTGTGTGTTTTTGTGGTTTTTTTCCCCTCTTTTCTCTCCCTTTATGTTATGTTTCTCTTAGTACTCGAGTTACTTTCCTGGCTTTTTAATTTGTTTTTATTTTTACTTTAGGGAGTCTGCAATTCACAGCAAAACATGAAACCTTCAGTTACTGATCATGGGCAACAGAGTTTTATAGAAAAGGTCTTCATTTTCAGTGTTTCTTATTTCTGCTTCATAACCTACAAAACACATCCTTTTAGCATAGGCTGTTTCCGCCTCTGATGGCAGAAAGTTTTTTATGCTAAATTGTGACTGGGCTGTGGCTATACACTGTATGTATGTATGTACAGAAAAATATACATATAAAATTCTGGTAAGCTCATAGATTCAGTGAAGGATAGTGTCAAAGTAGCATTTTGTTTAGTTAATATTGTTTCTGTCAAAATACAAAGAGAGTCTTATCTCTTGAAAGATACTTAATAAAGTGTAAAGGATCTGAGGTTAGATTTCAACTTCTTTTTTTTTTTACCTACAACCTTCATGCTCATGAATGTCTCTCTAAAATTCTGTTCTCTGGAAGAAGTAAGATCTAGATTTGTTTTCTCTGTTTAAGCAGGACAGCTGGGAAATAGTAGAAGGACTCCGGGGAGCAATGAATTGTACCCAGGAGCCACAGAAGCAGGAGGGCTGCTTGCTGAAAAAGAGGAAATGGCCTTTGAAGGGCTGGCACAAGGTGGGAAAGGAATGTGTGTCTGAAGGCCTGGTGCCATGTGAGTGGGACTTGGTTGGTGTGGTTTTATTGCTAAAAGGTTATTTAAGAGCAGAGAAAGTGTCCTTCAAAGGAATATTGGGGGAGGTTGTGGTGGTTTTTTGTCTGGGGTTTCTTTGGGTGTTTTGTTTTGTTTGTTTTTAATTCTGTACATTTCTGGTTACAGAGATACTTCTTTTTGGACAGAGGGATTTTGAAGTATTCTAAATGCCAAGCTGATGTAAGTGATCTGAAACCCTTTAAGGCCATTATAAGGTACAAACGCTATTTTATTCAAAATAACGAAAATACTATAATGTTGGGAATAGAGTTTCAATAGTTTTAAACAGTAGGTTGAAAGGGGGGAAATCATGGTTTCAGCAGGTAGTATGTGTCCTTCTGCTTTATTTTGAAATGATTGTATTATTTTTACTTTGTTATAGATAGAGAGAGGGAAGCTTCATGGTTGTATTGATGTTGGCCTTTCTGTCATGTCTGTAAAGAAATCAACAAAATGTATAGATTTGGATACAGAAGAACAGATATACCATCTGAAGGTAGGTCTTCAAGATTATTATAACCTTGCTCCTGAAATAACAACATTAAACTGGAGAGAGTCCAGCGGAGTGCTACGAGGATGATGAGGGGACTGGAGCATTTCTCCTACGAGGAAAGGCTGAGGGAGCTGGGCTTGTTCAGCCTGAAGAAGAGAAGGCTGCGAGGGGACCTAATAAATGCTTATAAATATCTGAAGGGTGGGTGTCAGGAGGAGGGGGCCAGACTCTTTTCAGTGGTGCCCAGCAACACGACAAGGGGCAATGGGCACAAACTGAAGCATAGGAAGTTCCGTCTGAACATGAGGAAGAATTTCTTCTCTCTGAGGGTGATGGAGCACTGGAACAGGCTGCCCCAGGGAGGTTGTGGAGTCTCCTTCTCTGGAGATATTCAAGACCCGCCTGGACAAGGTCCTGTGCAGCCTACTGTAGGTGACCCTGCTTTGGCAGGGGGTTTGGACTAGATGACCCACAGAGGTTCCTTCCAACTCCTACTGTTCAAAACAAAAAACAAACAAACAAACAAAAAAAACAACCCAAACCACAAACAAACAGCTGTGTATGGTGGAGACCCTCTTTTTTTTTAATAGTAGAAGGTCTGTTAGTTACACTAATAACTTACTTTTTAGTCTCACCAGACTAGTTTTACACTTTATAACTTGAGAGGCCTTATTTTACTGTTCCAGAGTCAGTAACCCTCTTCTGAATAGAAACTTTAATGATGCCTCATGTTTAACAGCACTCTTTTCACCCAGCACTTTTTTTTTTCCAGCAAAGGATATGCACTGGTTTTACAAGTGCTTTTCGTTTCAGTAATAGTATCTTCCCTTTGTCTTATCTATAGGAAATATTTTCCACAGCTGAATGTGTAGATTTATCTATCCTGTCTTGTAGAATTAATTGTTAAAAAATTCATCACCAAAATTAAATTTCTGTTTGTGGCTAGTTAAACTTTGACTAAACCTGAAAAATGGAAATGAAGAAATGACAAATTAAATAATTTTTAATTTATATTGGGTTTTTTCCATCTAGAATCATATTGTATAGTATTGTATTATGTTCTGCTTTTGAAGTCACAACTATATTAATTGAAGTTTCTCTTTTTCTTGGCTTTATCCTGTGATTAATTTTCTGTCATACTTACACTCATACAGTATGAATCTTAGTAGGAGCATCATTACAAAAACTTTCCTGATAGTGTGCCAATAAAGGTGGTCCTGGCTAGCTTTCTAATGAGCACAAAATACCTTAGTTTCTTCGTTAGTGACTTTGAATGTGACTGTTATAAAACCTGAAATTTTGTGTAGGTGAAATCTCAGGAGCTGTTTGATGAATGGGTAGCAAAACTTCGTCATCACAGAATGTACCGTCAGAACGAAATCTCCATGTTTCCGCATGATGTCAATAATCTTTTTTTCCCTGTGTCTACTACTGCGGACTCTGTCCCTGGTTTCTGCGATTCTGCTCCAGGTAGAAAGGTAATAGTTTTGATTTATAAATAATGAGCTTTCATCAGGGATTAAATTAGCCTGATTTGTGTTTATTAAGTAAAGAGCATATTGGAAGTTTGTGATGAGGTTTAAGTTATGATCTAAAATGTCAAGAGAAAAATGGTGTTATTTATAGATTTACTCCCAAGCAGTTTTGTCACGATGCTGTTAAATTTTATAATATTGTCTCATTGTTTCAATGCAGTAAATTATATTTTCATTATGACTTTTAGAACTGGATATTGAGTTAGAATTCTTATATTTTTTGAGAGATATATCAGTATTTGTCTGATATGTGCTGGTGAATATTGATCTGGGTCACAGACTCAGCTACACTTTTTTTTTCCTCCTTGAGCATTTTTTCATTTATCCTGTAGCTAATAAAATCTCTCCCTTTTTACATTAATGCATCTGAGTGTGCTTACCTGAGGAGTATACAGCAATTATCCAAGAGCCATCACCTGTAGTCACTATTTGTATTTTTAACTGAGGCAGGAGCATTATTCAAACCAATCCAAGGACTGTGCTGTAGGTGGGTACAGGGTCTGGATGGGTCCCGTCAGCAGTGTACTTCTTAGCTAAACTCTGTGACTGTTAGTTTCACAAATGACCTGACAAATGCTCAGTTCGACACCATCACTGACCTCTTTGATGCAGTCTCACAGAAGAGTCATTGAGTTCCGTGCCTGAACAGAACTTCTGTGCCTTCAGCAGTCTGCACATTGACTGGCTGATGTTCACCCAGAGAAGCTCTTCTGCTGCAGTCTAGAACCAGTGATCTTTTTTGAGAATAACGTCTTTTTTAGCAATACTGTATTGCTTACTGTAACTGAAAAGTTTCTGTCAATTCCAGAAGTGTCTCCTAATCAGCAATTGCCTCTTTGTTATCCTCCTATCTAAGGTTTTCTTTTCCTTTGCTATATTACTGTGTGATCTGAGGGAGCTTGTTCCCCAATACCTGCAGCTGATCACTTTGGTAGGACTATCCTGTAACTGAGTTTTACCGAACACAAGCATGTGCCTGAACAGCTTTTTGCTGCTGGCTGAGAGGGAGGGGATCTGTGTGAACAGGCAGCTAGGAAGCTGAAAAAACAGTAACTCGCCCTGCGGTAATGGGGCAGTTCTGCAAAAAGCTGTCTGGATGCTTTCCGTGGTGTCAGCACCTCTGTGGCATGTGGCCGGTTAGTTCTTTTCTCCCGAAAGGCAGCAGGGATCGGAGGGGGGGGAAGGGCAGAAGAATATCAAGGGCAAAAGTGGAACACTGCAAAGCCCGTGATACGTCTATGACCGTGCTCTGGAAAAAAAAAAAAAAAAAAAGGGAAAAAAAAAAAAAGAATCCTTGTGACCAGCATATCTAAAATCTATGCTCACTATCGGGAAACTAACCATTTCTTCTTTAGCATGAAAGACTTTAATTCACTTCTAATTTATTAATCCAGATTTGCACTGTAAAGAAGACCTACTTATTTTCATGTGAAAAATAGTAGGAGATAGTTCTTAAGCTGCAGTTAATCACCTTAGCTCTGCTGAAGCTCGATGGAAGTTTGCCAATTTACACCAGCCCTAGCTTGTAGTTAGTTGATATTAATCCAGCAGTTAGTTTATTTTGAGAACAATATATCAAGTAAACTTTGCATTGCATTTTATTTGCTTTTAGAAACACCTGATCTGTTTTCACATCTGTGTTGTTGTTGTTGTTGTTGGGAGGTAGGTGTGTGTATCTACATATGTTTATGTGAAATGCTTGGATTCTAAAGCTTAGCCATGCTGATCAAAAGCAAAACTACGCTAACTGGAGCTACAGATACTCTCTCTTGACTGTTTCTTGGCAATGCCTACTTCCTTTTTCCCTCCTGCTCATGACCCTCGTGTATATGAGTTCTGGAAGATTTGCTTATATCAGACAGATCAGATTTTTGAAGAGATAATTGTGGGATTTGTTTCCAAAATGCCAATACAATTGCTCATCTTTAAATTCAGTTTACTTGTGCTTTTAAGGGTATTGGGATTGTTATTTGGATATACATGTATAGATGACTAAAGCTCATACAGCTTTATGTAGGAATAAAATAGCTGAATTGCACAGATTATTTTAAAAATAAATATGCTGATTGATGCTTACTACTATTCCATACTGACTATATAAATTGACATAGTACTGAATGACATCACGTAGAGAGTGCATTTTACTTCATTCTGCAGCTCAGATTGGAGCTTATATTGTAAATTTAAAAAGATCAGTTAAGAAAACTGCAACTGACTGAGATGTAGGTGGTGTTTGCTACGAATAGATTTAAAACTAGTACTACCTGAATTTTGATATAAGGTGAGCGGGAGGCAACAAAGTTTGTAAAGTGTATGCTTTAGAGAAGAGCCAAACAATTTAGTCACCTTTTCTCTTAACCAGTAAATCGTTCACATAATGGCACTTGAGATGAAATATTTTAACACCAATTTTAAACAAGATGTTGACAAAGCATGTAATTTGTGCAACTTCCTGACATAGATATTATTAAAGATGAAAGCTTTAGTAAGGTCTAAAACTAATTAGCCATTTGAATGGCTATTATTTGTAGTTATGTTAGAGAGGAAAACAACTTTATAGGCCACAATCAACTGGTAATAATATTGGGTAGAAATTTGAAACTATTTAGTTGTACTACTCAATTAGCTCTTGCACAGAACTTCCAGCATCTCCCAAAGCATCTGATAGTAGGCACCTGCTGAAAATGAGATAAGTTTGAAAATGGTTACTAAGTCATTGTGAAAGGGTAGTATTTACCCAGATGAGGTGTGTGCTCACATGTGTATTAAGGCCTGTCAAGCCAAATCCATGCTAAATTCATACAACTTTGAGTAAAATTTCTAAGTAACATCTAGTACATCTTGCTTTCTTCACTGAAAACTAACTAACAAATATGGGCATGTTATATTTAAGTTAATTTTGGGGCTTGTTTGAGGAACATGGAGAATGAACAGGAATGTCTGACTTTGGTCTTGTTCAGATATGGTGCTTTAATTGTATTAACTTGACTTAATTTATGCAGAACTTTGCCCTTCCTCAAAATTTAGTTTTCAGCAATTTTTTATGGTTCCTTTAGTATTTCTGCTGCTTGTGGACAGCAGTTATGTTAGATATCCTGACATTATGCACAACAACTGTACACCTAGTCTAGTTCATACAGTTTTTTCCTCCATGTTATTGATGTCATCAGTCCGTGTCCCTGATCATGGACCTGAACTGTTGGTTGTCAAAATTCATGCATACAACATTAATGTATTTTTTGTTAATAATTCACTTGTTCTTTTTTGGAACAGGCAGGCAGCTTGACCAAACAGAATTCATTGTCAGCTGTAGGTAACTTGTCATTTTCGTTTTCGAGTAATGAGTCTAGGATTTCATCTTGGCTGCAGTCTTCTGAAGACATGGTAAAATGCTCAAGAGGTAATGATATTTGAAGGAATCTGAAAGTAGCCTAATATTTTCCCTAGTTTTTCTTGACAATGAGAGCGCTACACTGTAAGTAGTCATTACAGTTAGAGTTCTTTCTGAAACGGAAGGAGGAAAGGAGTGTTTTTTGATTAACTGGCTACTCGCTTGTTTTCAAAAGGGCTCATGATTTTGGATGTGGGCATATCAATTGTGAGAACCTCTTCAGGGAACCTGTACATTTCAGTACATTTTTTTAATATACAAACATCACCTTCAGTAGTAAGATTTGAGCTTTCTTAAGCTGAGTATTCAAAAAATTGAAGCATCCAAAATCTAGTTATTTAAAAAGCACTAAATCTTTGCACTTCAAAGTCACCTTCTGCTTTGATACTTACCTAAGAGCATGAATATCTTTCTCATGTTGGTAGTATCTTTATGATACTTATTTCGTAGAGTTCTACCCACCAGTGAGCTTCAGCTCTAATATAGAGGAGCCTCATCTCTAGCTCTGAATGTACAATTCAGTCTTGATGCCTATGGCATTGTTACTCTCACCATGAAGAGCTCTGACTAGTCCTAACCTGCAGTAATTATAACATTATTCTCATTTTTCTGCAACCAGCTAGGATAAAATATTATGGTCGTTATACGCACCATATAGATGCATTTCAATATTTTGAATTTGAACTTGAAGATAGAAGCATGCAAGCTTTTTATCCAGTCTAATAATGTGCTTTTAGTCAATGAATAACTTGTGCTAGCTACAATCAAAATAAGTCTAACCTGTAAAGAAAAAAACTTTCAGTGTGTCTGTTACTTTAGGGCAACTGAAAATATTCTTTTGTTCAAAACAGACCTCTCCAGCTGTCACGCATATCTACTGGAAATGAACCAGCTGTTACAGAGCATGGATGTTCTTCACAGGACATATTCAGCGCCTGCTATAAATGCTATGCAGGTTTGTTCTCTAAAAAACAAAACCAAAAAATGTTTTCCCTTGCAATTCCAGAAAAACAACCCCAAATCCTAAAGGATCAAGATATTTCTTTTTAGCGCTGTTAGTTTTATGACAATCTAATTATTTTTGTCCTGTGTGTTCTTAAAAGGTTGGACCTTTTGAAAGCCCAAAGAAGGAAAAGAGAACACACAGGAGGTGGCGATCCAGAGTTGTTGGGAAAGAGGCTAAAGGAATGTTACAGGTAACTTCAGTCTTTCCAGTGCCCATCTTTCTCCAAATCTTTGTTATTGATCACTTCTTGGTGTAACCAGTTTAGGAAATATGAATACTTTCTAAGTAGTGTCCTGTGCTAGCTCATTTTAAGTGGTAACATATCAGACAAAATACAAATATGTTGTCATTGATATATGCAATAGGATCTGTGCTGTTACCTTCAGGACACTGGCCATGTTTTTTTGCCCATGTTTTTGGACTGCCTCCAATCCGGGGGGTTGTGGTGATGCGTTTTTTTATCAGTACAGATTTTTGCAAATTCTCTAGATAGTTTTGTACACATTTGCATCCAGAGGCCATGTGATTAAATACTTACAAGTAGGGAAAAATAGTATAGTGTATGCTACAGCTCTCAATGGGCTTGTTTCTTGGAGTTTTGCGAAATCTCCAGTTATGATATCTTGGGCAAGGTTATATCTATGGTTTCATTTGATAGAAGTGTCATCCATTCCAAGTCTATTGGTAATTGACAGTATTTTTTCCATTTTTGGTGTGTCTGACATGTAGCCCAGGTGGGTATGATAAAACAGAATTTTCTTTACAGTTTGTAAAAACATCACAAATAGCTATCCTCCTTACAGGTGCCTTCAGTATTTTCTGCCCCTATGAGGCTGCATGCTTCCAATCCTAACTTATCTACAATAGATTTTGTAGAGGAGAAAAATTACTCCGATGGCTCTGAAACATCATCAGAATTTACTAAAATGCAAGAGGACTTATTTCACATCGCACATAAAGGTAAATGAAATTGTCTTTCATATGTGGTTTCATATCATCATGTTTTAAATAATGATGTGAATTCTGGGAATGCTTCTTGTTTAATGTTTAGAAAAAGCAGAAAACACTTTCCCTTCCTTTAATTCCTTTGAGAAATTGCAAATGTTGAGATCCTGAGTAATTTGAAAAAGTAGCTTAATCACCACATTTGAATTTTTTTTTTTATTTAATAAAGGACATCCCTTTGATTTACATGCTAAAAACCTAGATTGTATTTTTTTTGCCAAAAGATAAAAATCCTAAAATCAGTTGCTGTAAACACAACAGCAGATTTATACTCTTTTGTGTTTGCATGCATATGTGTGTATATGAGCACATGTATGTTTGTATATTCGGTGTACTTCACTGTGTTTCAGAGTCAACATTTGTTGGTGATGCAAGGGTTGCTATGGTAGTAACCTATTTTTAGTGAATACAGAAGAGTAAAATCATGTAAAGCAGCCAGAGGGGTAGCTTGACTAGAAATATTTCTTCTCAAATTTATTTTTCATTAGCAGTGCTTTGCTCCATCACCCGCACACCAGAAATACTTTTATTGTTCAAGTGATCTCAGCGAGGAAGGCACTTAAGCATTTATATCTGAAAGACTTTCGGGAGTATTGGCTTTGTCCCCTTTTGCACAAGATGATGACTGATGTCATCAACAAGCATTCTTTACTTGTTTTTCCCCTCTAGTGCTGAGGTATCTTGATTCCATTATGTAAGAAATGTGTTGAAGTAGTAAACTTTATGAAGTCAATTATAGTCAAAACTGATGTATATTTTCCAAAAAGAGAAAAGAAGTCAAGGTGGAGTGCAGCTGGAAAAGTTGCTATTAAGTGGAGCAAAGAAGTCGTCTGCCCAAGATAATCTTACCTGAAATGTCCATGTGGGAAATTTTGGTTAGACTGACCCATGTGTTGAAGGGACAATTGACTTGGTACTATTTAATACAGTATCATTTTATTAAGAGTACAAAGAATTTTTTTCCAAAGTTGGTTTATACCGTACCCCTTCCGAAAAAGGGTAGTGAAGACAAATTTTGCTTTAGCTTTTGATACAAATTAAATAAAATGTAACATTAGTATGTAATAATTCTTGAAAATTTATACTAGTATATAATTTATTAAATGACATTTAAGGTCACTGAAGATTCTGGTCATGTCATTCACATATGAAAGGCTAACATAAAATAGATCATAGTGGATACACCTTCCTCCCCACCCTCTATGATACTGTTAGAGAGTTCTTGAGACAGGTTAAAGTATGAGAATTAGCTTTGGTAATGGATTGCAGTGTTGAAATATACCTTAAGAATATTGTCTTGTAAGAGAAAATTAGGTTACATCGCATGCTCAGTGAAGTGATGATGATTCAGGTTAACTCTGAGTGGATGATTAGAGGAGAGAGGTATCATATATTGCTTGTTCTTTGCCCTTTCTATGCATCCATGCTCAGGTTTTATATCTCCATTTCCCCACAAATGAATACATTTTTGCATTGACAATTCTTATGACTATATTACAAGGCTTGATTAGGCCCTCAGAAACCATCAAATTCTCCAGTTAGAGAATGTTGAAATCCTACATAAACAAATATTACTTGAATAAATTTTTATTCCTTGTGGTTAAAGGAAAGATTTAATGTCTTAAAGGTAAAAAAGTGAGGAAAGCGCATTTCCCCTTTAAAAATCTCATGACTTTAAAACTGCGTGATCTGTTGTCTGATTTGAATGTTTCAGGCTGGTGATACTGGGCCAGGAAGGAGTAGAAGTAGCAGTGTAACGTGCACAACATTCAGGATCTGACCCTTTGAGTCGCTAAATCATCTAACAAGCTGAAATTTCTTTATCCCCAAAAGAGATAACAGAACTCAACACCACAGTTGACTTGCTTGTGGGGAAACTACTAACCCTATAGCTGTGGCACAGTATGTGTTATAGCTGCTTTTTTTTTTCTGGTTCATTTTTTTTCTTCCATCTTTTCTTCTCCCCCACTGGAATTCTGAAAGGAGTGTGGAATAGAGTCATGACCATCTGAAGATTCAAGCTAATTGGGGAACAAAGCAAGTGAAGAGCAGATGTGGTTAGTTAGCTTTGTTGCCATCTGTCACAAATAATCAGAGTAATTTTTACTGTGGCTAATATAGTCAACACAGTAGCATTCACCATAAGCATTTGTCCTACTAAAAAAATCTACCCTATAACCTTGATTAATATTACTTGTTTTTAGTAACCCACCCTGGATCTCTCAACCTAAATTCTTGTTTCTGTCACCATAAACGATGTTTCATTGACACTTTACATGATTGGTATGTATACATTTGGTAACTGTTTTTAATTGTCACTTTTTACAAAATGGTTCTAGTTTACTTCAGCTTGAGGTCAGCTTTCAGCACCATATCTACAGAGAGAGAAAAGCTGAAGCAGATGCTAGAGCATGATGCATCCTCATCTCCATCTGCACAAATAGTTGGCTTGAAGAATGCCTTAACATCCGTAAGTGACATGCTGAAGTTCAGCAAGCTTCATGGTCATCAAATACTACTCTTAAATTTTATAGTAGTTAATTTCTGTTTCTTTATGTCTGTTCTGTGCTACAATTTGCAGTATTGAATCATATTAAGTTATTATGTATGGTGTTTTTCAAAGATTCTTTCCTAAATGTTAAAGGTATAGTGAAATCACTGAAGTTTGATAGATAGATAGATTTAGGTGTATAGTATAATCTGTATCATTTGACGTTAAGAATCAGAAGGCTGCTCTGTGATGATGAGTCTTCTTTCTCTCAAAACATACGCTGTTGAATTGCTCAGTTCTGGTAGGTTGTGTTTCTTGTTTCTTTTCTTTTCCTAAACAGCACTCAAGTATTCACTGTATGACTTGGCATAAAATAAAAGTGAGAGTGGCTGAAAGCGCTCAGCTGTACCTTCTAATGCACTAGAGATTCACCATGCTGCACCAAGACACTGCAAAGCAAATTCAAGTACAACTTGTTCATACTGCCTTCCAACCTTAGCCGTCTAAAAGCAGCTACGGAGTTGTTAGGGCAGACTTCTAAATGACAAAAGATTTTTCACTTTAAAAAGATGAACATTTTTGGTTGATGTGCTTTTTGTAATTGGTTGAGACCAGCACTTTTAGGTTGGTCATTTTTGAACATGTCAACCAGACAGTGGTCTGAATTCAGAGCAATGAGGGTCATCATTACCATGGTCTTATATTTTCAGTGTTTGTTGCAAATTCCTTATCGGAGGCAGGGGAGACTCTCATGACATTGAGATAACTCCAAGATGATCTGTATCACATTTATCAATATGAAAACTTCCCTTTGCTTTACTAAAGCTGCATATGGTTATAGTTTAAGTGTATGACATGCCTCTTTGCCTAGATCTTTAGAGCCCATGATGTTTAGAGAAAGCTGAAACCTGTTGCATAATAACCATACTCACTCACTTGCACTTCTCTGTTTTTGGCTTTCAGATGTTCCACTTCTGATATTTGAATAGGTGACATTTATTTTTCCAGTGTTATTTGCCTACCATTTTATATAAAAACAATCTGTTTTAAGATTTCAGTGAACACTCAGCTTAACATTTTTTTTTTCTGAGCAACGAAATTCTGTTGTCTGTCTTCATCCTCTAAATGTTTTTAGAAAGTCATGTGTTTAGCTCTTATCTGATACTTAATAAGCCTTTTATAGCCCATCCAGAAGTCATCTGCGAACCTTGGCAATTTCAGCAGAGGTTAACACCAGTGACAGCTATTCATAGCCTGCAGATCTGTAAAGCCATGATGCCAACAGAAATTTTCTCACCCTGTAGAGCATAGATCCTGTAGGAGAAATGAAAAAGCTTCCTTTGAAGATGTATGGAATCACAGATATGATAAACTTGACATATTTCTAAGACTTTCTTGCAAGAGAGTCCTGTGTTGATGACTTTGACTTAGTGTTTGTTGTTGTTCGTTCCATTTTGTTTTCTGTACCTGAGGAACAAAAAAAATCAGGCTCAGGGGTTGAAAGCTATCAAACATAAGTCTGTTTTGGTCTCCTCAGCCTGGAAGGGGACGAAAAGTGAACAGATTTAAAGTGGAAAAAACATCACAAAGTTAGCATATCTGCCTCTGCTTCTCCCCCATTAAGATAATATCCTTGACCTGTGCACAGTCTAAGAAAAGCAAATACAGAATGGGGAAAGTACAATATTTTTATTTTGGAGGGAGGAAGAAGACAGTAGAAGGAAGAAAACATTTTGTAGCAAACAATGAAAATTGGAAGATGCAATTACAGGAAAGCTGTGTAAATTCTTTTTTGCACTTATTTGATGTTGTGGGTATAACACCATGCTGTCCACCTGAACACTTGATACAGAATTGATATATGTGTGTATGGCGGATTCAGACCACATGTATGTAAAGCCAGAAAACACTCTCTCCCCTCCATCATCACTTTGAACTTACTGTCTTTCCTGCCCTTAAGACTATTTCTAACAAAAATTACTATTTAAATCAGAAGCATCTGTGGGACAAAGCAGATGTGTAAACAGCAGGATTCTCCACATCCTAGTATATATTCAGATGACTACAATGTGCAGTAGGTCTTCAGCATTGTTCCAAAATTAGTAACCCAATATTTCGGGGTTTTTTTTAGAGGTATTTTCATTGCAGGCAGGATTGCATTCTCTTCTAGAAATCTACCCTAACTGACATCTGTCCATCAGATGCACCCAAAATGAGTAAATAACATGTAACAAACATGAGTTTGCAGTAGAGGCTTTTTATTCTGTTTTTTGACATCATAAGCTGATAGGATACAAATTGTACCTGTACCTGCCTGAATTTAAATCTTGTTTCTCTGTCAGTGGAAGGCAAAGGGAACTGTCAGTATACCAGGCTGATGGGGAAATTAAATGTTTTTGGATGTGGCAAGAGTAAGAGTTGATGTTGAGTGAGGCTAGGTTGGAGATAGGGGTGAAGGAAGGGAGCTTGAAAAGAAAAAATATGCACAAAATTAATTTCTACCTTATTAAATCAGCTTGCAAAATCTGGTAACTTGAACTATCCCTGCCATCTTTGGCTTTTTTTTCTCCATTTATGTGTCTTTTCCCTCACTGCACAGAAATAATATTAATTTGAGAGATAAGGAACAGAGTTTGAAGCATTTATAATAAATGATTTGCTGAACCAGTAAAAAATCGTGTGGTGGTAGTGTTTTATACTACACTTGAAATAACTCTTTGCCCCGTTTTACACAATAAAGTCACATTCAAATTAGTTGAGAGAACTTGATATCCCCAATATTTTTGTTAAATATTCCAGGCAATAGCACAAAACACAGATCTTAAAGACCGGTTACGCAGAATACATGCCGAATCTATGATCCTTGATTCAGCATCTAATGCAAAATCAAGTCCAGATTTGGTGAAGGTGGGTATGGATTTCCTCTTTCAGTGATGTCTGTTCCTCAAGCCCCTACATCTAGACAGTGCTGTGTAGCTGCATCTTGTCCTATTCTTCATGTCTTTTCTATGGCGTATTGTGTTAGCAAAGTGAGTCCACTTTCATGGTTATGAGTCATTTCTGATGATGCATTGTGTAATACTTGATTTCAGAAACTTTCCTTGTGAGCATTTTTTCTGAGCGCATTTCCATTGCTTTTTGCTGCTGGTTCCCGGTGTTCTCCCTCGTCTCCTGCCCGCTTCCCGTTCAGCATGAACAGAGCTGCCGCCTTATTACCCTTATGCTGCTGTTTCTCTCCCCCTTATTCCCTCATTAACTTTCAAGTTCTGTAGCTCTTTCTGTTGCCTGTGTAAATATTATTAGTCCAGAACGCCGGCTACCGGCGTGGCTCGTGTAAGGTTTAGAACAACTATCAGACATTTCCGTGAAAGGATCAAAGAAACGAGACGTGCAAGAGCCCTTTCAGCCAGTCAGTTTTCTTTGTGTGAAGCCAGGGAGTCTTCTACATATCCAGTCAGCCAGTTTGAAAAGTGCTGATGTTCAGACAGTTTTTTTGGCTTGCTGCAGAATGCATGTGAATATTTATGTATTTATAGGTCACAAAATCTAGGTGTTAATGGTGCTAGTGAGAGAAGCAAGAGCTGTGTTATTTCTGATGGATTTTGCTGAATGTCAGCTCATACAGAAACTTCTGCTGTACTTGTAGTATAAATCTTTCCTAAGAACTTGAGTGAATGTAGTGCTGGGGGGTTTATATAGCTTATTATTTCCTTTTAAAGACAGTTTAGTCATTCTGTCTGTTCAGTTCTGGTTTAGTTCTGTTTTAGCAGAGCTGTGTTTTGGTCATAGTTAGCTGTCCTTTTTTTTTCCTCTCTCTAAGGTAGTTGATCATTCTAATGCCTTTTGCTTTTAGTCCCACGAGAATCTGAGCAGCACTTAAACTGCTATCCAGACAAGCATTAATGCATGGTTTTTTAATTTCAGGAGTTCTTTATTTTCTCATTGAGTGGAAAGATTATTAGATGAAAATAGCTTTCAAAAGGTCCTTTAGAGGTTTCATTCACAAATTCCCTCTGGCATGGTTTGGGATGGAATTTAAGGATGAAATCACTTATACTAGAGAAGTTCAATTTTAGATTAGGTGGAGGACTATGATACATTTGTGCTGCTGTGAGGAAGACAGGGCCACTGCACAAAACTTGTGTCTAAATGATACATCAGGTACTATGATAGACCCATGAAAATTGAAGCAGTATAAACTTCTGTCTCAAGCCTTTCCATAAGGTAAAAGTTTAGTTCGTCTATTGGGCAGTTTGTTGTAGTTTATCATGTGAGAGTGGGAACGTGAAATAAGACAACCTGAAACTCTCATGTGATAGATATAAAAACCTGCAGTTCTTTTTGAGCCCTTCCTGCTCACTTTCCTTCTCATATTCAGAATAGTACTAGAAACAATTCCAGTAGCAATGCTCATGTGTGTAAGAATTTTACGTTTCTTTTACTTGTAGGCTAGTGTAACTACCTTCGCACAGAAGAGACTATGTTGAGGTTCCCTCTTTTCTTGCTGCTGTATCAGAAGTTTGGGGTTTTTTTTTAAAAAAAAGTCTATTGTATGGTAACAGTTTGGTTTGTTTGCCTTGTCACCATTATCAGCACGTACTGAATAACGTTCCATACTACAGTAAAACCTACCAACAGAAGAGCTTTGAAAGAAGATTTGTCAGTTTGATTACAGACTTAGATTGTTCATTATGTTGTTCTGAAAGTTAAACATTACAATTCCTGCAAAATTATGACAGGGCAGTCATGGTTATAAATTTATAAAACATCTCATGCAGAAAAGCTTGAGAGCAGCTAATACACTCCTTTGGGTCACCTAGCCCTTTTCCTTAGCATTGGTGGAGTCATCAGGGAAAACAATAGTGCACAATGTTCTGCAACATTTTTACTGCATCCACAGAATGAACCAAGTCTCACTGGTTACCTCACCTTTGCTAGGGCACCTTTTGGAACTCTGCTTACACCAGTGATACGTAGAGCTTCCATGGGAGGAGTCACCAAGATCTCCACGGCAGCCAAATGTGCCTGCAGCAGCAAAAGCGATGTCACTTATGTGACTTTGATAATATGTTGGTTTTGGTTAACATGGAGCTATCTCAGGTGTGGATATGAAGGAAAGCTTTCTAAAGCACAGCACAGAAAATTATCTAGTGAAGAAAGAGAGCTAGGAAAGCATTGCTATTATATAGAAAGCAGCTTTGCTCCTCTGAATTTTATGTGCCGCTGCACTGCAGGCTTTGCATTAAGGAAGGCTTGGGAGGAAAAGACGAATTCATTTGCTAAAATCAGAAGGGAATGTGAATCTAGGACGCAATATGAAGAGACGGGAGTTTTGTTCTTTTGGGGGCTTTTTGATGATACTTTCCTTTCCTTTTTCCTTCTTCTCTTTGGTCTGTTTTACTTTGTTTTTATATCCCTCTTTGAAACACATGCTACCTTTCACTAAATTGGAGAGAGGAGCATGTGCAGTCTTCTCCCAGTGTTTCACAGCCCTTCAAGTTATGTAACTGTGGAACTGCATGCATGAAGGATATTTGTGGTACTTCTCTCAAAACTTTTTATTTCTTTTAAACAGGAAAATTCGAGAGAAGAAAGCAGAGCTCTGGTTCACCAGGTTTCCAATGAAAGCAGACTCTCTATAGCTGACTCTCTCACAGAATTTTTTGATGCACAGGAAGTCCTACTGTCTGCTAGCTCTTCAGAAAATGAGGTCTGAGCCTTGATTGACACCATTCTGACGTAGTTTCTTATCTGCTACTTGTTGTGCAGTCTTTCTGAGAGCTAGCTGCATGTCAGATGACTGCCAGAAAATGAAAATTTTCAAAACATTTAGAAATTTATGTGCTGAGTGTATTTATTTGTTGTCATTGTCTCTTCACAGTAAAATGTAACAATTATTATAGAGAAGCCTTATATGCACAGTGAGGCAAATGGCAGTTAGGTAGCTAGTATGCAGGTACTGCATGTATTGTATTGTTTACCTTGAGTTGTTATACAGCTGTGTAAGAAATTGTATCATAGAAATATATAATCATACCTGTCCTCATGGTATCTGTAGGTACCTTGGGGCTGATGTTGTGCATATTGAAACTTAATAGCTCATTTTGACACCTCTCTTGGACCCCAGAAAAACCTTGGCTTTTGGTATGAGGAAAGCCGCCTTAGCTGTTGGGCCAAGAAGATGAAGCATGTCTCCCCTAAAAGGATAGCTGAATTTTCAATGATGGTGATCTTCCCCAAACTCAGCTGTGTGTTCTTATGACTTCTTAGTACTTTCCTGTAATACTGAAACACAGCTTAAACAGTTCAAATCTATTAAAACAATAATTGCATTGGAAAATAACAATTTTCATGTGCATATGGGGTTATTTTAATGAGTCATGTATCTTGCTTATTTCCCCACCCCACACTTAGGTGTCAGATGATGACTCATACGTAAGTGATATCAGTGATAATGTCTCAGAAGATAACCTAAGCAATGACATGGAGAATGAAAGACAAACTTTAGGTAAGTTCAGTGTTTTATTATACCATGTTTTGAGAATTTGCTTTGCTTATGTTTGTTTAGGATATTTTTTTTTCTTATCTTACTAGAAATAATCTGATATTTCAGGATTTGAGGTGTAAACAGCCTGTGTTTTTTCTCTTACAGCCCCAGATTGGTTTTGAACAGCACATTCTGGCTAATCTCATTAACAGGGCGCAGGCACTGTTGGTTAAGCAGGATGGTGGTTCTGTATCAGCCGAGAAACACCTATTTTTTTGGCTTCTTTGGTGCAACTCCCATTCCTTTTCAGTTCCTTTCATGGCCACAGGATTTTTCAAAGTAGCAAGACCTAGCTGCTTTCTTTTTTTCAAAGAGTAATTTTCTTCTTGTCACTGTTTTTTCAGTCTGCATTCAGAGTTCTGTTGTTTTTAGCAGAACTCAGTGTTTAAAGGTGTTTATTCATGAGAATAATTATGCACTGGCAGGCCTGGTGTATGACCATAAGGATTTCTTTTTTGCATGTTTTAATCATGATAGTCTTGTTAGTACATATGCTTGTTTAACTGTCTTGCTAATTAGAGACAGAATCAAAAAAAGAGGGGAGAGAAATCGGTCATAACAAGCTGATTGGCTTTGTGCCTTCAGCTCCTTTCAGAGCTAACCACAATGTTCTTCCCCTTCTACCAATACATTTTTATCTTCAAAAACGCTGAACAGTGGTTTCTTACTAGCAACTATTTCCTGATCATCTCCAAGGACCAGTGGATCCCTATGATCTTGGATAAAGAATACAGGTTGATTTATCTCATGATATGGACGTTAGCAAACTGTACTAGTGTGGCTGCTCATCTTGTAACAAAGACTGTCACTGAACCTCTTTTGTATTAGCAGCACTTCCATATGCTTCTGCTACCTGCTATCTCTGTACTCTGGGCAGCCTGCCACTTCCACTAATAGCAAACTGGATGTCTTTTTCCTACAGGGCTTTAGCTGAACCATAAATTGTGGGATTATGATAAAATCCTGTGGCGAATGTAACATAGAAGGTCAGAGCAAATGATGGTAATGGTCCAGTCTGGCCTTAAAAGTCATTGAGTCTAGCTGGAGGTCAGATGTCTTAATCTCCTTCAGTATTGTCACTGGCCATTTGATACAGCTCTTGCAAACCAGAACTGCATGGGCTTTTCTTTTCATGGGGGGTGGGCAAACTTCACTGTGTAGAAAATTTGGTATCTGAATATCTTAGTTGTTTCTCTGCTCTGTTTTGTCACCAGTTTACCCTAGTTAATGGGCTGGTCCAGGATGTGTAATTCAGTCAGTTAGTATTCTGCTTTTAATCAAGCTGTTCAAGGACACAGCCAAATCCTGTTTCAGAGAGCTCTTTCGAACAAGGATTAATTTTTAGCATCTACCTCCTTCCTTTCCACATAGCCCCTCGTTCCTGAGGTATCTAAGGGAACATCCTTATTTTTGGCCTCTTCTGATATTTAATAAATTCTTCCAAGATTATAAGAGCCAACCTCTTAACTATTAACAGTATGATTGTTTCATGTACCTTTTCTGATTCATACTGCCCGTCCATTTTTATGCAAAAAGAAAGAGATAGGCAGTAGACTGCAAATAGTTTGTTTGTCGTTACAGTAACTCAGTCATATGAGATATTGGGATTTTTAGTTTGTGAGTGGCAGGAAAGATAGAAACTTCTTCCTCAAAACTTTGAGGAAGACAAGTGAAAACACTTGAAAACCTCCATCTGAGGCACGGGCTAGCATGCATAGCAGTGATGGAGAAGTTAGCCCTTGTGGTTGTCTGTACTTTGTCACTGTTGGAAGCACCGCTGACATCATGCTTATGTCAGTGGACCAGCAGAGGAAATACTGGTTGAAACTGTGCATTTAAGGGCAGAGATTCTTTGGACATGTGCTGCCCAGCGCTGTTTTAATTCCTCCAAGACAAAGCTGCGTGAGGAAAGCCAGATGTGAGGACAGGGGTTGACAGACTGGGGCCGTACCTGAAAGTCTCCAAATGGTAACTGATTCAAGGGCAGGAGCTTCCTAGGTGCTTCTAAGGATGTGTAAATATAAAATATCTTTGCGTAGTGGCAACTGTATTCCTCTCTGAAACGAGACTGATGTACGGCTAAGCAATGTAATCACTTCAGACTAGTACCCGTTGCAGAAGCTTGTAGCTCTATTTTGATCCTGCCACAAATCATTTCATGGCACACATAGAACTATTTATGCTGTTCCAATTGCTTTGACATAGCAACACAGACCTCAGATATTCATGTCAAGGACTCTTGACATGAGTCCCTTTTTATCTTTAGCAAAGCCATACCTCCACGGTTGCTTCAGATTTTCCACCTTTAAAACAGGCCATTTCTCCACCAATGTATGGGCGAATATAAAAGCTAACACCACTAAAAATTTTTAAATGTTAAGCACTGTGGGGAGCACTGTGGAAAAGACTGCATGTACATCTGTGGTGCAGTAAATTTGCATGGCAGGAGTATTCAAAAAAGTAGGAAAAGATAGGTAGGAGTTGTTGTTATGCTTGGATCTGTAAGTTACGCCTTACCTTCTGAGAAGTGTTGACTTACTTGAAGCTCTGTCAAAGAGAGGGGTTTTATGTCACTTAAACAGATAGGAGTCCACCCCTGTTACAAATAAAATAGTTATAATATTCACCCTTTCAAATTCAAGGGATAGCCTGAGCCTTTCTTGGAGCCTTTAAGGGGAAGGAAGGTCATTTTTTATGCATCTTTTGTACCTGGCAGTTAACATACAGAAATTTAAACCTTGTTCTTAATTTTATCATTTATATAACAGACTATCTTCAACCACAAGTGAAATACTTGAATGAAGTGTGAGGGTGGAAGGAAGTTTTGATAGAAGAAAGATGGTTGCATTTCAGTATATGTTTGCAAAGGGGATGAAATTAAGTAAACAGTGAATTGACTCATTCTGCCACTTCCTTCCTTTTCAGACTGCATTTCTGAAAGTGGAATTGGATGCAATTCTAAAAGGAGAACATGTCTACCAGCTCCATGTCCTAATACAAGTAACATCAGCCTATGGAATATCCTGAGAAATAACATAGGAAAGGACCTCTCCAAAGTGGCCATGCCTGTTGAATTAAATGAGCCACTTAACACCCTTCAGCGTCTCTGTGAGGAGCTGGAGTACAGTGAACTACTAGATAAGGCAGCGCATACGCCTAACCCATTTGAACGGATGGTAAATATTTTATTCCAAATACTTAGCAACATTCAATAGAACAGAATAAATATAAAAACAATGTGCCAAAGAAAGGAAGATGTTCTGTTACATTTTTCTTTTTCTCCCAGCTGAGAAAGGCAGACTCTCCAAATGTGTGTCTGTACATGCTTATATACCTACTGTTTCTGACTCATGCATAATTTCTGTTGCTTTGTGGGGACCTCTTTCTCCTCAAGTACCTTGCTGTCCTGCAAGGTTAAACAAAGAAGTAGTTTAGTTCTGTTTTGCAGTTTTCTCTCTGTAAGATTAAAAATTTACAGCAAAAAGGGAAGGGTGGTTGAACTAATATACTTCCGTCTTGACTATGAAAGCTACAGTATATCTTTTTTTAAGGGTGTCCAATCTGGTAACACATTTGTGCATAGAGGACACTGAATCTTCCAGCCCTACACTATTGTGATATCTTTATAGTAACTAAATGAACTCCATTTGTTTTATTAACTGGTTTTGTGAAGTTTTAGGGTTGATGCAAAATGTTCAGGATCTCAAAACTGGGCAATATGAATGTACGCTGGGTGCAATAATCATAGAATCACAGAATAGTTTGGGTTGGAAAGAACCTTTAAAGGACATCTAGTCCAACCCTCCTGCAATAAGCTCCGATGTATTCCACTAGATCAGGTTGCTCAGAGCCCCGTCCAACCTGGCCTTGAGTGTTTCCAGGGATGGGGCAGCTATCATCTCTCTCGGCAGCCTGTTCCACTGTTTCACCACCCTCATTGTAAAAAATTTCTTCCTTATATCTAGTCTAAATCTACACTCTTTTAGTTTAAAACCCTTACCCTTTGTCCTATTGCAACAGGCCTTGCTAAGAAGTTTGTCCCCATCTTTCTCGTAATCCCCATTTAAGCACTGAAAGGCTGCAATAAGGTCTCCCTGGAGCCCTCCCTTCTCCAGGCAATGGTGTCATCTTCTGCACTCAGCATTTTGCAAAAGAACAAGAGAAAAATGCATTCCAGTTGTTTTGCATCCAGGTGCACAAGAACTACTTAATGTGTAAGCCTGTAAATGAAGGATTAAAAGCTCTCTAAATTCTCTTAAATGGAAGTTATAGATTGTCCCTTAAGTTGAATTAAGCCTTTTCAACTCAATATATCTTATCTTGAAATGAGGTTATTAATGAATGGAAATAATAATGTTATAAATACTGCATGAAAAGTCTCTTGCTCCATTCTGACACTCTGCAAGGGTTACAATTTAGTGTCTGTTCTCTTCTCATGACAGAGGGTGTGGCTATTTATTGGGTTTTTAGGTGCATAGCCTGGTTTGTTCTCTTGAGAACATATGTCAAAAGAAAAAGGTAATGAGCAGTAGTTGTTTGTATGGGAGTGCAAAGCCTTTTCCCTCCTTCCCACACCCAAGCATCTGGACATAACCACAGAACGGAGAATTCTTTGCCTTTGAGAAACTACTGAGGCAAAATTAATGCTAGCTGTTGCATAGTAATTGCAATAGTTCATAAAAGAGCCATTCTGAAGTGGATTCAGTTTCTGAAATTGTGAAAGGAGAGCATCTAGACTTTCACAAGATCAGGAAAAGGAATTAAAAATGAGAAAAAATGGTACAAAAGATACCTGAATCGAACAACCCCAAATTCTAATTCCTCAGGTTTAAGAGGAATTATGCTTGAGTTGACTGAAAAAATTTGGAAGTGTTACCTGTGTCTCCATCATAATCAAGAATAATTTCATGATTAGGTAATAGCACGCAGTAGATAAAAGGGAATTCAATTCAAATTGCATTAGAAATAGCAAACTCTGTGAAAACTCATCCCGTGCCATTTTTAGGAAGAGGATAGTGGGTAGATCCATAGAATCACAGACCGTGACTATGAAAGCCAGTTATAATACAAAATCTAACAGTGATTTTTAAGGTCACTGCTTTGAAATGTGTTGCAGAATGCTAAGTTGTTTCAAACAGCTTTCAGAAATGCTGTTTTCAGTTGGTGAAATTTGCAGTGTTTGACCCCAATAACTCCATCCCTGGGCCGCTGAATGACTCTCTGAAAACTGAATAGTTCTCTAATGTGTGAGCTAGTGCTCAGCTTGCAGGAGGCATGCATGTTTGTAGTCCTTAAATGATGGGAAAAATGCAGAATCTGATGTCAGGATAAGACCTTTTTTTTTCCTTCTGTTAAATCAGAATGTATAACAAAAATTGTGCATGGCTGTGGTAAATGAATTAACCAAAATTATACATATGTTATTCCCAGGTGCATATAGCTGCATTTGCAGTCTCTGCATATGCATCCAGTTACTACCGAGCTGGAAGTAAGCCATTTAATCCTGTGCTTGGAGAAACTTATGAATGTATTCGTGAAGATAAGGGTTTCCAGTTCTTTGCGGAACAGGTATTGTATGCTGCAACCCTTAGATCTGCTTCTTGATACAATGCTTAATTCTAAATGTGTGGCTGGAATCCTCTGGAATTAATAGCAAAATACAAAATTACTTTACATAAGCTGAGCACTGTGGAATTATAAATGAAGAAAATTGTTTTCTGAGGCAAGTCTGCTAACTCTGGGATAGAGCGTGACAACCAACAGCTGACACTCGAGAAGCAAAGGCTGGCAGGCTGCCTATTCCAGTAACTAGACAACTTGGTTAAGTAGACTGCAATTCCCCATGCTGAAAACTGATCACAACTGCAACAAACGTTCACATTCTTGTCATTTTCTTTTGTGTGTGATCATCAAAAGTACTGTATCTTCAGCTGTTTAATGTCTTCTTTTATAACAAATATATCCCTTGTGTGAGTCAATCAACCCACTGTATTTTCTATGGCACCATGGATATTTCTGCTCCCTGTTCAAATACTTCGTGGGCTAAACCCATCAAATCTGGTACCACAGCTCAGTTGGTGAAGGATGTATACAACATCAAGGTCTGAGTGTTTATAAAAATAATTCCCCGATAGGAGAATAATTATTCAGTATGGATGAAAAATATTAAATTTAGACCAACCAAGTTACCAGAATTGCTAAGCTTGAGATATATGTTAAAAAGAGATAAAACTTAAATTATCTGATGCCTAGCAGAGTAAGAATGATTGAAAGCTGTCTTGTTTTGTCTAGACGTGACAAAAACAAGAATTATAAAAAGTGCAGTGGGTAAGGGTGTACAACCTAGAAATTTGATCAGAGAAAGGCTTCTAAGAGGCTTCCTTTAGGTAATGAAAAGTGTTTTTGACCACCTCTGAAGATACAACATTTTGTACGTTATGTTTTAAAACTGACAAAAAGAAGTGCTATGTGATCTTTCCTTAGTCTTGGGAAATGTCACAGGCAAGAGTAAAAATAAGGAGAGAAAAGAAAAAAAAAAAAAAAAAAAGAGCAAAACAGTCAAAGCAAGAATCAAATTTAAAGTTCAAGTAATGTATCTGGTTCTTCACTGTTACTTCAGTTCTAAGATGATGTGTGTAGGGCACTGCAGTTACTAGTGTAACATCAAACTGGAGTAAAGAAGTGGTGAATAAAGATTGGTACTGAGATTAATGTGAGGTTGAATTAAACGAAGAGATTTTCCCCTGAATGTTGGATACAAAGGCTACTTTTCTAAAGAGGAATTTTAATATATGACGGGACTTGGGCTGTTAACAACTACGGTTCTAATAATTGCAATAAGTGACGTGAGTTTATAGAGCAGTAAAAGTACTGTGATAGTATGGGGTGGAGGAATATTAGGAAGGGGAGGGCAGTGTAGGAGGAAAGAAATTTCATGCAGCTTGCAAGCATTAAATATTTCTCTTTGCATCAGGAGCTGTTGCTTATTGCTTGTTTGTGCAAGCATTTTGATGCTTACTCTAGTTAACTTATTACTGCAGATAGTATATAATCTGTGGAATAGATAGGCAAAATGTATAAAATAACAGACATTCTGTCCTATTACTAGAGTGAGTTTAGAATGACTCCACTTAGCACCTTGACCTTACTCTGGAATTATAACAGTTTAGTGAGAGCTAAGTTTAACCCATGAATTATAGTGGCGTCTGGGGTTAATCTGGTTACAGTATGTGTTAGAGAGAGTGTGTTGCTCTTGATGGGTTAGGGCATAGCTGAGAGTAATTCAGTCTTCTCTCCCCCCCCCCTTTTTTTTTTTTTTTAAAACCCAGTAGAGGATGTTCAGTAAATAGCTGGATGCCTGCGAAAAAATGCTTGATAACAGATTTGCAAAATGAGTAACAAAGAAGAAAGTAAAATTGCAGTTGAGCCATGTAGGTGGTTAAGAAATTAAATTCATAGTGTGAAATAGCAAGTTGACTTGAAAATAAGGTTGTCTTTGTCAAAAGAACAGGCATTACATGCCAAAGAGTCATGGTCAGTTGTTAGTTCCTGTTCACCCAGAAGGGAGAATTTATAGCCAAGGAGGAGTGGCTGCTTTCACTTTGTGCAGTTACTTTATTATTTACTATTTCCTTTTAATAATCTGTATTGTGTATTTGTTGTGGGGGTTGCCCTAATTCATGTATGCGCTGTTACCCAAAGCTGATAAAATGCAATAGACACAGTTAGTTTCACACCAGGAACACCTGAGGTGTCACTAATGATGAAGTAGTAGGGGTTGCTAGATGGAATTTCATGGCTTGATTTCTCCACACGTGGCCCCATCAGAGATGCTGATCACGGTCTCCTCCCTCATAGTCAGGGTTTTGTGGGAATTTACTGCACAGAAGAATTTGGCCCTTTGTTTTTTTTATTTTTGTCTGTGTGCTTAAAGTGCAGCTTCTGCTAATTTATCAAGAGGGTCCTAAGGGTAAATGTAATTATCACATTACAGACAATGTGCAAAATACATAGTTAGATTTTCACTCGATGAACAAAATTCACAAGCCTTTGAAAGTAAGTGTTTCCTATTTCTTTCAAGGCTTCTTGGGTCTCAGTACCTTATTAATCTCATTGACTCCCCCTTCAGGACACAACTGCAAAAGGAAAGTGTTCGAATTTGTAAATGCCATATATGAATGAAAAATGCAGGGGAAAAAAAAAACCCGAAACCAAAATGATTGTTGAAGTGTTAATATGTCCATCTCTTTTTTTCCCCTTTCATGTCTTGCTATTAGGTCAGTCACCATCCACCTATTTCTGCGTGCCATGCTGAATCTGTGAATTTTGCTTTTTGGCAAGGTAACTCTTCAGTCTATCATTTACTTTTACAATATTCATAATACTTTCATTGTATGTCTAACATGAAATATACAGAAATTGGGAAAGGGTGAAATACTCTGCTTAAATTGTATTAGAATGGCTTTAAGAAATGCTAGCTTATATTTACTTGCATGCTTCTTACTTGGATGTTCTGCCATTATAAAAATGTTCAAGGTTTATTTATAACATTAATTGATTATTCTTTTCATATACAAATATCTACATTTCTTTAATCTCATGGGGGGGCAGTTCTTTAGTAAAGAAGAGTTATACCTCAAGCTACTTACAACGAACACAGCTTGAAAAACAAGAAGTTAAATCCTGAGCCTTGGCAGATCTTGTAAACCTATTCTGAAAATAATTTCCAAAAATGAGCATAAGAGCAAGGATAAAAATATTTACTATGCCTTTCTCTGCTGGCATTATTACAGTATAAAAGATGTTGTGCTATTTGACTACTAACATTGTTTTTGAAAAAACATGTGTTGGAGCTTTACTTGCTGTGTAATGCTGGTGAAGGTGTCAGTCAGTCACAGTACCTGTGTGGTCAGCTATTTTTGGAGTGTACCCAGAACATAACTATGCCTTTTAACTCGGTTAAAATCCTTCACCCAGAGGTTTGTCAGTTCCCAGTATAGCCATATTATAACCTTTAATTCTGTTATCATTGACTCTGCTGACTTGATTATAGTTATTACAGATGGAGCCATACTGAACAGAAGTTGGAACTCTGTCATTAGTCTGGGTTTCATTATTCAATTTAATTCTTCGCTTTGTAAACAAATACAGGGACCCAAGTGTCCTTTTGTTCCTAGCCAAAAAGCAGAGATGACCAAAAATTTATTCAGTAACTCAGTACTGTATAAATAAGACTAGATAGCAGCCTGTCTGAATAAAAAACTGATGAGACTGATTTTTTTTTAACAGATCTTGACAACTGTTATCACTCAAATACTTTATCACTTGCATTTAGAGAACAAAGTTCTGCTGTAAAGATGATAGTGGAGGATCTGATCAATGAGAGAGTCTGAGATTTGGTCTTGTGCACAGGAGACTCAAACGGTGCAGCAGGGCTTGGGGTTTTTTTGGGGGGGCTGTTTTTAAATGTGCCTAGCTGAGCTTATGGGAGATCTAGACAATGATTTTTTTCCAATGCAAAGACAATTTATAAATGCTGTGCCCTCTTGTTATGGGGCTATATTAAATTATTTGGAAAGATTAACATCAAGTTACTCTTAAAGATAGCTTGTTAGTGAGGTAAGTTCTTTCTATACACAAAGATCTTTTCACTTACCATATTATCTCCTCAGCAACATTGCCAGAGTAGTGCTGTCATCCCATCAGATGCTAACCTTAGTTCATCTATTTCAACATCAAGAAATCTCTTGATCATCTCTAGTGAGCCAGAAGGCTGGGTTCTGACAGGCACAGTTACTTCAGAAATCGTTTTCCCTGACTTAGGAAGCTGACTCTGCGTTTGTAAAGGAGTGTGGACACATGAACAATGGAAATGCAGAATAGAAGGTTCCAGCTATTACAGCAACTGTACCTGAATTAGTCTGAGCATAGCTCTGAAATAGCACTTCCCTCTTCTTTGCTGTCCTAAAATTTTTGCATGATCAAGTTGCACACTGGTTCCAAAGGTGTTTCCCATGTACTAATCTCTGTGGGATAGCTTTGCTATTTATGAGAACACAGAACATAACAGAATCTGATAGTACATTTTAACTGTTAAACTCAGCTGGGTGTGCCTTTGCCCATTCTCTTCCATCTGACTGCAGAAGAGAGAAAGCTAGTATAGAATTCGGCTCAACATTGTCATATTCAAGATAGTTTTGGACCTCTTACTGTGCAGTAGGAGTCACAACAGAATTGCTGTCACTAAAGATGCTGACTCAGCGTCAAACTTCAAAACCAAAAAACCCAAAAGGTCCTACGCTCAAGTGATAAGAAAAGGATCATTTTTTTCATGAGGGATTCTGCTCTATGTCCCATTCCAGCCTTTACAATAGTAGGCAGCTTGGTGTGGCTCAGTCCTATCACTTGCACGTACATACTCGGGGCATATGTAATCTCCTAACTACGGTTTGAGCATCTCTCTCAGACAGCATAACAGCTTCCCCCCACACTTGCATAGCAAACAGTGTTTTGTTTTCCTCATGTTAACACTAGCATCTCTTTGAGAATAGAGATGAATTTTTCCCTCTTTTTCAGATTGGGCAGGGAATGGAGTTCCTAGTGTCTAATACAGCAAGGATACTGTTCCCCTGAGCTGTGAATTTACTATGAAGGTCACTGCCTGATTATCTAGCCCAATTCAGCTCTATAACCCTTCTGCCATGCTTCTCTGTCCATGTTTCTTTCTCTTCCAGCTGTTTTCGCTCAATAAATTTGGCTGAAGTTGCATCGGGATTTGTCATCTTTTTTTTTTTTTTTTTTTTCTGAGAAATGACATGAGACTTGGACATGTTTTTATGTGATTCAGACAAGATTTTAAAAGGCCAGTTAAACTTACAGAGGCAGTTGGACTAAATGCCTCTACAATTTTGTACCCTTTGAAACATTCTCTTGCTTCTTCACTGTGGATGTTCTTAGTTGCTATAGTGTTGTATTTGAAATTCTGCTTTTGTTTTTGGAAATGTCTGCTTTCATTCATTAGCAACTGAATTGCAGGGAAATACATGCTATCTATAACTTATTCAAATTCCTCCCTTTTGAAAAAGTTTTTGAGAGGACTTTTAAATCTGTGATACTTTGCTATTTAAATAAACAATGTAATTAAAAAAAAAACCCCATGTTTGAAGGTCCGCAGAATTCTTTGAACATTTTTATTATGTTGCACTTTGTTATTTTGCTTTCCTTGAAAATAAAGTAGAGCTCAGAAATATATTGACTCACCCATGCCTATGACTAAACCTGTCTTTTTCTTTTTTTTTCCTCTTCCTGTTTCAGATGTAAGATGGAAAAACAAATTCTGGGGAAAATCCATGGAAATTGTTCCAGTTGGTACAACACATGTAACTCTTCCAGCGTAAGTGCTGCGGTCGTTGCTGTTCACACACAGGCACAGACTTGCCTGCACATGCTGGAGCCACATTTATCCGGATGAGAACAAGCTGTGCTGTGCCTTATTAGGCCTTTGGAAGAGTTGGTGATTACGATTTAGTTTAAAAAGAAAGAGAGAAGGGGAAGGAGGGAAGGAAAAAAAAACACCAAACCAAAAGAGAAGCACTAACTCTTCCAAAGGTTATAAAAAACAAAAGATGAAATAGCAGACATCACTCCTGTGTATCTTGGAAAAAAAGCAAAGTTGGTATTTTCATACTTCAGCTGGATTTCAAGCTTCATGCATTTTAAACTCAGAGAGAAAAACTGCATGGTAGAGGAAGCTATGAATTTTTTTGCTTGAATATGGGTTTGGGGAAGGGGGTGCTGCTGCTCTTCCTGTCTTTTGTACCTATATTTGTACAGACCTTAACACCATGGGGTCCTGCTCTGTAGGTGAGGTCGATAGTCAACATCACTGCATTAAAAACATATTCTAAGTGATAAAGAACCATTTGCATATCTGGCGTTTATTGTCCAAGGATGTAAGCTGCCACTGTAGTTAAGTGTTGAGTACAGTTTAATTTTTTTTTGAAGTAAAAATCTGCAGTGTTGCTATGCTGGCTTGTCAGAGTGCCCGTTATAGATCAATGATTAAAGTCACTTAAATTTTGGCCTATAGCCATCATGTTTGCAGAACCAGAGGTCTAAAGGCTGAGTAGTATTCCAATTAAATCTGTTTTCCAAAGAAATTCTACAAAATTAATTATTCTGCCATCTGAAAAAAAAAGAAAAATAACTCAAGAACCTAGCATTCATCAGACTAAGCAACTAAGTATGCCTTTTTCTTTTAAGTGGGTAAAATTGCGATATTGTAAGGTAGTATCCAAAAGTTAATGTATAAAACATGTTGTGTTCGTAGCAGCTAGCCTAAGCTGTGGAGTGAAATGTCTTTAGGAGGTGAGTGAAGGTTCGGAAGCAAAGTAACTGACAGATTAGGGCTGATGAATTGGAAATTAATCTAAATCATATGTGTTCTCCATGTGCTGGTTTTTATCCCTTTGTATCTGATATAGAATTGGGTACAAAAAAGGTACTGAGGCTAGAGGCAAAAAAGAAGCATTAGTATTAAGGTTATTTTTGAGGCAAATACAGTATTCTTAGCATGCATGATAGAGCAAGTGACCTGTAGGTAGGGGCAGGAAAGCAAGTTACTGGGGAGTAAACTGGCTGCGTATCTGCTAGTCTGTAAAAACTGCCCTTGTGCATGCTCTTACAAAGCAGCATGTGAAAACAACCGATTAAGGGGAGGTAAGGAAAGATTCTAATATACTCATGGGATGTGTGCGAGGCAGTTGCTATGGGGAAACTGGTGCTTTGTAAGCTTGCCCTTTACCCTACCAGTAGCAACTTGGCTATCAATACTCAAAACAAATTGTAGAATATATGTCTTCATAAGACTCATTTTCTTGAGGTTTTATAAGGCTGTTTTATAAGAACGTCTGCTTCTTTAATAAAAGGTAAAACATTGTATTACCTGTTGGTATTTGTTCATCTGTCTCTGTCTGCTGTCTTCCAGTGTGCAACTGCATCTTGAACTACCTGGTGAGAACTTTTGATCTTGCCTAAAGCACACATATAGGCTCAGCCTTGAGAGCCTGAGCCAAGTTCATTCCACTCAATAAGTCTTCTGATGACTCTGGTGGCCCATGCCCTTGTGTTTTCAGTTGTCGCTGTGTTACAAGCTGTGAAATGGGCATTTCAGCCAGTAGAAGATATTAGAATGATTACTTTTGGAAGCTTAAAACTGGTAAAGAGGGACAAGTAAATTGACAGAAAACTGAATTCAAGACCAAAGTTTACAGCAGAAGTGAAAAGAGTTCTCTGGGAGACAGGATTGTTGTCGTAGGGTTTGTTTTTGAGACGGTGTGGGACAAGAAGAAGAGGCATTCCAGAAAAAAAATTGTTTTGGGGGGTTTTTCTAATCAACTACCCTGTGGGTTGTTTTTTTTTTCACAAGTGTATAAGCTCATTTGAACATGGCACGAGATTTTTCTTTGTGTATTTTTCTTACAGGTTTAAAGACCATTTTGCATGGAACAAGGTGACATCTTGCATCCATAACATCTTAAGTGGGCAAAGATGGATTGAACACTATGGAGAGATCATCATCAAAAATCTTAACGATGACACTTGCCACTGCAAACTGACTTTCATAAAGGTAACCACAGCAGTAACCACAGCAATGTTGGCAGTGCCTTTTCTAACAGACACAGCAGTGGGTGGATGCTCTTTACTGAAGCTTAGTACAACTGCTTACAAGCTGTATTTTTCTGTAGTTCTGCTGTAATTACCTGTGATTCTTCGAGAAACTGTAGCTCTGAAGGAACTGCCTCTCACTAGGCAGAACCAGACAAGAAAGAGAAGGAACAGCTTTGTCAAGTGATTCCACTTACGATGCAGAAAATATGGGGAAAGGAAAGGAAGAAATACGGTGAAAAACCTACTCGGTGTTTGATGAGAGAGGTAGGCACAAGGTGTCTACCAACAATAGTTTACCACATGCCTCCTGCTAACCCATTGGCATGTGCTGTGGTTGCATTCATTCAGTAACTGTAGAACCAGTGCTTATGTGGGGTGCTTCACCCAATGCTCTTTTCCAGCCCTTTTGCAGGTACTTGGAGGAGTTTAAGTGAGAGTTTGTGGTGTTACTCAAAGCTTTTGCTTCAGTACAAGGCATCAAGATATGCCTTCCTCAGGAATTACCCTTATAACTCAAATTAAAATTAGTTTTTGGAAGTAGATTACTTCTTCCTAGTAAAGGAAAATCAATGAAAAGCTAAAACAATGCCAAAACTTCTAACCTGAGAAATAGTTTTGCAAAGCATGGTAGGAGACTTACCTTAATCAGCATTTTCTCTATCTGATTGCTGGAGAAAGGCTGTGCTTTACATAGATTGCATCTGTACTTTCTGTTTCTAAGTACTTCGGCATACCTATGCAGCATGGCATGCTCAGCAGCAGAAGGAAGGTTTCCTTCTCTTACTTGTTTTTCTGAATACTTTATACTTTCTAAGAAACATTAGGGTGGTATTTTTTTTCCAAATACTTCTTTGAAAGTACTGTAATGTATCTGCAGAGTTGCAATGGATGTTTAGAGTTCAAATTTCAAAGTCTGAGTCCGCAAATCTTACACTTCTGATACTGTTAATTGTCTAAAGTGGAGATCACTGTATCAGTTCCTTCTCTTCCTCTTCTGCAGATGTGGGAAGATGCAGATAACTAAGTCAGGAGTCAGTGTTACCTATCATTGGGCAAAATTCAAGGTCAGCTATGCTTCACCTAGTACTGCCCTGAAAAAAGGCAAACAAAATAAATACAATTCTCAACATTAGTATTTTAATAAGCCAATTAATAGTACTAACAGTAGTTGTTTGCATATGATGATATAATGCACGCATAAATGAAAAGTTTTCATTTCAGAATACCACTCTACAGCATGGTACTACTGACATGGCAAAAACACTCAGACTTGATCTCTTATGCACCTTTTTCCTTCTTGTTTCTTTTAATTCTAGGCAAAATACTGGAATCCAAATGCACATGAGATTGAAGGCAGTGTCGTGGATAAAGCTGGGGAAGTTGTGCATCGAATCTTTGGGAAGTGGCATGATAGTTTATACTGTGGGACAACTTCATCTTCAAACTGCATATGGAGAGCAAGTTAGTGATCAGCATGGCTAACATACAGAACTTAAGATCTGCTTGAGAATAAGCTTACTGTTTTCATATCTTTATTAGGCCCCAACTGTTATTTCTATGTGGAATATTAGATTTTTGTCAAGCATTTAAAATTAAGACCAGAAGAATACATCTTCATACAACTTAAATAATATCGAGGTCTTAATCCCATGGCTTGCTCCATTTTCTCTATTCTCCCTAATTTTCAGGTTCGAGCATGAAGTGGGTATTGAGCACTCTAAAAAGAAGGAAAAAAAAAAAAAAAGGAAAACACCCCCTCTGCTTTTTTTGTGGAGAAATGTGTATTAAACACTGGAGGATAGCCCACAAAGCTCAGTTCTGTAATGACAGCCATATCGGAACTTCTCCCAGACTCGTGGGGTTTTGTCCACTGTAGTTTGAAAAAGCGCTGTGATAATACCATGGCCTTCACCACCATTGTGCTCCGATTCAGCTGAAAGAACAGAAACCTGTTTTGTTGCAGTGTAATTATCAAGGGGGATGTTCTCTTTTGTCACATTATTAGAAGCCTTTTATTCCCCCAGAATTGAGACTGTGGTTCAGAGATGAACAAATGACTAAGGGGAGTTTGGAATTTTGCTTCTAAAGGTAGTAGCATTTACATGGAATTCTGAAGGTATTCTTTTCTTCTGTAGATCCCATGCCTAAAGATTATGAACAGTGGTATGGATTTACTCAATTTGCACTGGAGTTAAATGAACTGGATCAGCAAACCAGGTCATTACTCCCATCCACTGATACACGTTTTAGGCCAGACCAAAGGTAAGAAGTTTAAACTCTTACATAACTTCCTCAAATAGTTCTTAATCTTCTGTGTGCTCACTTTACTCTAAGCTCAGATTATTTTGTGTAGGTACCTGCAGTGTGTTTCTACTTCTACATTAATGCACATCTGAAACAGACATTTTAATTACTTATCAAGAGATGGTCTAGTCATTATGGACTACTGTTTCCTAAAACTAGCTTTTGCGTTCTAGACAACTGTCTTTCCAAAGAGGTTAAAACTTCAGTACTTCAGGTACTGGATGTTGAGCGTACTATGTTTGTATAGCCAAAACCTAAGACACTTGAAATTTCTTTCTGCGGTGGAACTTCTATTGTTGCTAACTTCCACGGAAAAAAAATATAACAATGACTCTGAGCTTGCTAGGAGAGATACATTTCCTTAGTGCTTTTTGATAGTGCAGTTGTCTGCAGAAATAGCTGTTTACCTTTCAAACAACTGCCTGCTGTAACGATTAGATTCTGGAGCTCTAGAGGACCTGGCAAAGATGGGGGACAGGAATAACAATTGTGTTTATTATCACCGCTGGTGCTGCAGGCTTCTAGAGGAAGGGAATATTGAAGGAGCTGAAATGCAAAAGCAGAGGATCGAGCAGCTACAGAGAGAACGACGGAAGGTGCTGGAAGAAAACAATCTAGAGCACCAGCCTAGATTTTTCAGGTACTACATAACAATTAGCATATGCTGTCATTTATTGAAATTCCTGTTATCGTTCTGTTTCTAAACTGCCATAGACCGGGCTCCAGTTTCTTCCAGGTTTCTTCTATATTCTTGATTTTTGTATTCTGGCAACATAGAACACTCCAGACTTAGTTCAACTCAGGATTATGTATTGCTTTTTCATTAGCGCATCCCTGAATTTCTTTCTAATTTTTTTGCCCTGATGTTGATTGATATTTAATCTATGTTTGAATTTGAGTGAATGTAGCATCTTTGATTCTTTCAAGCAAGGTGATGTAGCTGGATTTAACTTAATTAGCTTTGCTGAACTTCTGCTGAATTCAGCGGGATTGCCTTGTGCAGAAGTGTGCAGAGTTGGAGCCTCTTACTTCCAGGGCTGTTTTTGAACGTTTCCCCGATATGATAGAGAATTATCATTCAGAGGGCACTTTATTTCTTCTTGTTGTAAGTCAATTAATGGGAGACTTCAGCCACCGAAAGTCAAAAATAAATGCTAGTGAGGGTGTGGCCTTTCATCCTCCAGCTGCTCTGTTCTCCTGCAGTGAAAGAGTTGGAGCTAAGGTGAATGTTGTATGGACCTGTGTATCACAGTTAACAGATCTGGGATCCTTATGTTTTTCCGGATAGATAGATACTGCACTTGTATTGAGCACAGAAACATTTAAAATAGGTGCAAAAAGGAAATGCCTCAGACCACTGCTTATCCAAGGAACTGGTGAGTTAACTCATCACATGTCAATCACGCCTGCCAAAGACAAGCAAACGTTGCTTCCAGCAGCCTAAAAAGACAGGATAGAGACAAAGCCTAATACTTTGTAATTGTATATTTGCAATGAGGACTGTGAATGCAGATGAGGTTTTGAATCTTCACAGTGAGGATCTGAAAATTGAGATTTGTGCTTTAGATTTAAATAACAGAATAAAGAATTTAATTACTATATCACAAAAGTGTTACAGAATCACAGAATCACAGAATCACAGAATAGTAGGGGTTGGAAGGGACCTCTGTGGGTCATCTAGTCCAACCCCCTGCCGAAGCAGGGGTTCCAGTGCTCCGTCACCCTCAGAGGGAAGAAGTTCCTCCTCATGTTCAGACGGAACTTCCTGTGCCTCAGTTTGTGCCCATTTCCCCTTGTCCTGTCACTGGGCACCACTGAAAAGAGCTTGTCCCCATCCTCCTGACACCCACCCTTAGAGTAGATATGAATTATGCATCTGGCTTTTCAACAGTGATTTCTCTCTTCAGCAAATCACAAGCCTTGATTTACTTAAAAGAATAATTTGCTGTTGTGTGAAAAACGTTGTAGACTAGATTAAAAGCAGACTGATTCCTTCAGGGTACGGTATCTAGTGCAGCAAGTCTCGCCTTTTGACTGAGAGCTATAGGCTCTCTCTAATTAGTAACTGTGGTGAGCCATCTTTGGAGAGGTTAAAGGAAAGTTTCCACTTTCCACTCAAAGCTGCCTTTGAGGCCACAAAACAAACCTGGACTGCAATTTTAAGTGCTAAGCACTGGCATGTGACAGTGAAAGCAGAGTGTTGATCCCAGCTGAACACCGGGCTACTGAGGTGTGTCTCCAAGGCCGAGTGCAGGCATACCAGACTCCCCAAGCTGTATTGCCTTGTTTGAAGGCTGTACTGAGTTGCACTGCACCTGGTTTGTGGGCTGGATTGGGTATCTGTGCACAGTGCTATGCAGCATGTATATGGAAAACATAAGCTTAACATTTAAGGCATTTGTTTAATCTTCAATAGGAAATCCAGCGATGACTCCTGGGTCAGCAATGGAACCTACATGGACCTTAGAAAAGAACCTGGTTTTTCCAAACTGGACAATCCTGTCCTCTGGTGAAAAAGGAGCTAAGCGAAGATATTCTGTGCTGTATTCTTGGATCTGATTTAGAAGAAGTATATATAAAATATATCTCTATATATACACCTATATATATACACACACATATATTATATGTGTGGGGTGTGTGTATGTGTGCAAGTGTGCATATTTCCAGAATTGTGCTTAATTTAGAATCTGATAAGGCATTTGTTTTCTTTACTCTGACTATTGCAGTGATTGAATGTATAAATTCCCTAACTTCTTTTTATATTTAATAAATAGTACTGAATATTAACAGCGAGAGGGAAAAGAGGAGCTTTTACACTACTTATCCAATGTGTAATAATGTAAGTTCTGACTTAACTTATGCCTTATTGAATTCCATTGGAGACAGTAGCAGCAGCATCTCCTAGCTGTGCTGAGAAATCAGAGTGCAAGCCTTAGTAACTCAAACTGTAAGTAGGCTTCCACAGTTCAATGAGTCATTCAGCTGTCTCTGGGCTTGTATAAATTGCAAAAACAGATTGTCGGCTGGTGCTGGAATCTGAGTATGAGCCTTTGCTGCTTGTAGAAAGTATTTAAATAAGCTTTTGTTTCTATTAGCTTTCCTCTGAATGTTATGGAAGAGGTAGTTCTGAGCATATATCAGTGGTTCTACTGCCTTATACATAAACTGTACACGGCTAAATGTAGTGCTAGAAATTCAGGAATCGCCAAAATTTTCCACTGGGAATCTTCAGATTTATAGCCCCCAACAGGGCGAAAGGAGGAGAGCCTTTGTGTATGCTGCTTGAGCACTGACTAGATGAAGCAGCTCTCTTTCCAGTAAGTAAAATCTATACAGAGCACGAAATCTTGTGCTTCCATAGATTCATTTGTTTTTATTAACCTAAAAATGATAACAGTAAGACTTTTTAATAAGTAAGCAAACTGATTGTTTTAAGCTAGAAGTTTTTTCTTAGTATTTTGATATTTTCTACCTCTTAAGAAATAACAGCATATTTAAGATCTTATATTTAAAAATGACCATCTGCCTTATGGAGAAATGTATGGAGTCTTTGATCTTCCTCTGTTTATTTGTTATGTTCAGATAAATATTGAAGTGTCTTGCACTAAATCAATTGCATCTCTTTCCTGTAATTTTATACATATGGCTAGATTTGTGAAACTGCTAAACCATAGGTCAGAAATACAGTAGGAAACAAATGTAGCAGAAGTCACACATTTGAATTAAGATTTTAGCAACAGGCAGTATTTTTGTTTTTTCATTCAAATCACAATGCCACAGTCATTAATAGAATAATTTGCATCCCTGCCTACCTGCAGCTCAAGCCTCACCCGTAATTCCTCGAGTCTTTTCTATGTATCTGTGACTCTCTGGCAACAACGCAGTTTTCAAGTTTAGATCTATATCCTGTCACCACCACCGCTCCCTTTTTCTTATATGCCACTTTAATGACGGTAAATAAACCCAAATTTTGTTGCCATATTTAACTGACTTATAACTGGAAAAATTGGACAGTGCATGGGTAAGGAAGACTCCTGGGGGGACTAGTAGCTTAGAAAAGTTTGCACTTTACTGTGTGCTGCATTGTTCTAAAGAAAACCCATTAAAAATGGATCTGTGTATTATAACATGAAGGAAATACTATGAAAGCTTTCATTTTAAACGAAATCTGTGGTGTCAGATTAGATATATATTTGAATTTTTTTGCTTTCTGTTAACTTGGAGCGCCATTGTCTTAGAGGCAGATGAATGCTTTTTCACCATTTTTCACTTTGCCCAGGAACTCTGCCTCATTATCATTTCTGTAATTTATTACCAAAGAAGTTAGCATAGTTCTTTCTATTTAATATGTCTTTTAAAGACTTCACTACCACGCCAGCAGCTTACAACAAGGCAAGGTTCACGTCAATATGAAGACAAAACCTGGGCTTTGATTCCAAAGGAAATCTTAACCTTTGGGGGCTGTTTGGCTTTTCAAGGAAAGTGAGGATCTCTTCATGACTTGTTCTCTTCCTATATCTTATTCTTGTATTAACTGTCAAAACTTGGCACAGAAATGAGTTATTTGTAATTATCCTTGCTGTCGGTAATTACCATTTATACTAAAAATAATCTTCATTTAACAACAGAAGAGGGTAGGAGAAATTGAAAGAAAAAAGCTTTTAAGAAAGGGTGCAAAATCTGTGGAGGATGAATTCAACTTGCTCATCTCGTCATATTTGGCAGCTACTGTGATTACTGTCTGATCTGATTGCTGGGTTTTTATTTTCTGTGTATGGAGGGGATTTCCCCATACTCTGTTATATGACCTAGTAGTTGATAGCATCTGAAATTAAAGGATTAGAGGCCAAAAGGCAAAGTTAAAGAATTGTAATGCATTAAAATCAGCAGGTTTTAAACGAAACCAATCTCATTTTGGGTGTTTGTCATGATTTTTGAGAAATCAGTCTGGCAGTGTTGCCTTGTATCTTATAGTCTAAAATGTCTGAAATACATTTCTTTAATGACAAGAAGTATTGGGCTGAGTAGTGCCTTATATAAAATTTTCTTCGGCAAAATTCCCATTTTAAGAAGGTAACCTTCAAAATTTTACTGTCATCTTCAGAAAAACAATGCCTGAGAATATTCCAAGGCATTTCTTAAATACATGAAGCAAAATCTTTGCACAAGTAATAGCTTCTTTTGTAAATGTCCGATACGCATCTGCAAACCTGTTGTAACCAGTTGTGAATGATCCTCTGACCCCATGTTTCCAGCTGCAGTATGGTTGTTCCTGCTTACTTTTGTATGAAACAATTTGGTTTAGTTGTTAAACTTCTGTCAACTGTATACTAAGAAGTGGAAGAAAATTGTCTTGATTTTACTTCTGTGTATTTCTGCATAAACATATACCAATCATTCACAAACTTTAATATACTCTATATAGATATTCTTGGTAAAATAGGAAACTTTGTTTTTGGTTTTTTTTTTTCCCCCGAAAGCTTTAGATGTGTTAATGGGTGCAAAACTTACATTAGCATTCTGCAATGTAACTAAGACAGCTGTTGTTTTTAATAACTGACACTGAGGGAATTTCTTCCCCCGTTTCTACCCTGAATGGTAGAAAGAACATATCAGACAACTTACTGCTTCCTTTCTCACACAACAATGATCCCCAAGCTGTTTAGCTCAATGGATCAGTCTTAAAATTGCCTGATGACTGTTGCCTGCTGCTATAGCTCTCTTATTTGATGAGTTTATAAACATTACTTATTTTGATTGTGGAGGGCAATTTGAGAAGCAGCCATCTAGCACTGCCTTTCTTCGTGTATCCTTTCACAAAGTAAAAAACTTACTATAAACATAGCAAGATGATGGAGCAGGTCAGGCCTTTGGGTGTTAAAACACTATGTCAGTTTTCAAATTACGCAGTAAAGAAAGAAAAAATTCCAGGGAAGTAGTGTTCATGGAAACAGAAACCTACAGCTCTACTTCCAGATTTGCAGACTTGACAGTTTCTGATTTTGGTGCAGCACGAGTTTGGGATTATGAAGCAGCCTAACTTGTTTAGGAAACTACTCTTGATAGCACAAAGTGCTCTTTAGACTGAGTGGAACTGGAGTGCACCATTCATCGTTGCATTCCTTTCTTAATCTCTGTTCCCTGAGACATGCTTTATGTGTTAGTTTGCCAGCACACTGATCTACTTCTTTTAGATGCTTTTTGAAATACAGATCCAGCAAAGTACTTAGGTTCTTTATACAGAGCTTGGAAAATTAGATGTATGGAAGGAAGAGCGAAAGCAGCCAAAATTTTGAGAAGGAAACATCCCAGAGAACTGTTCTTCCACCACCAAGTTTTCTTTGAAGGACCTGAAGCAGGATTGCTGGTTTCTTTTAAAACCTGGCTCCCGAAGGAGGTGGGGGTTGCAAACACAGTCACCTTATTATTTGGCATTATAGTGCTGAAGCCAGATAACTGTACAGATAGGAACATAAAAACATGGGGCCAGAATGTACAACCAGGCACAGCTTTGGGGTTGCGCAAAGGTCCAATACTGGTCTCAAAAAAAAAATACCTAACAAAAACCTCACCCCTTCCCATGCCCCCCACTTTCCCTCAGCTGCTCACAGTCCTGTTTAGGTTTTCTGTGTGGCCCTTCATATATAAAAGTCCTTATTCAGCGTCCCATTTTCTCTTTATGACAAAAGATTCTGAAGAATAGGAAAACAGTCTGTTCTAACAAGCTTTTAAATGACAGGTTATGCCTAAAAGCTGGAGTTAAAACTTTCCCCATAAACATTGTGGCCTACTTCTATATCTTTTCCTTGACTGTGAACAGGATTTTCTTCCCAGTTGCTCTCTGGAGTCAACCACAGCCTGGTAAGGGTAGCGTGCCACGGAAATGTGCAGCTACATCTGCTCAGCATAGTCCTAATTAATGTCCTTCCGTCTGCTTTTGTGTAAATCTCTTCTATCATCTCTCTAGATGATCAGCTTTGCAGAGCAGGAAATTTCCAGCATCTCTAATTTTGTTCACTGCAGCTTTTTTTTTTGTGTACAACTCATACAGAAGGGGCAAGCTGAAGAGGAGTGTGAATCTTAACCCACGGTGCATATATAATACAAAGCAGGATGAAATCCAGCTTCTCTACACAACTGAATACATCTTGCAAGGGCTAAAGTCAGGTGGTGCTATTCAAAGAGTGAAGTTAAAATGGAATGGCTTTTTTGGTTGTGTGTGTTTTCATTCACAGATTATGCCTACTATAAATAAAATTCACAGTATTCACTAACTCATCCTTTCTATTTTCTGGATAGTGGTGGGTGCAGCTTACTCCAGCAGCTGTGGGTTCATAAGAAACTGCACATTATCGGGCTTATCTGTTGAAACTTAGTAAATGCTGTAACTTATCATCAAATGTATTATTGTACTGCTCAGTTCTTAGATACTGTTCTTGCTGCAGCTTTTGAAAGCAATAAGAGAAATTTTCCACATAAATAGTTGCCATATGTTAAAAAATTATTTTAA